CCATTGGGTATAAACTCCACTCAGTGTGAACCAATGTGGGCTTGGGCTTCACTGATGCTCAAACAGCAAATGCAGTCAAGGATTTCTTGGTCTGTGATTTTTGAAGAAAAGGGAGTGTCTAAAAGGTCCTGTCAACATATGGTCCCTGTCTTTAGGATGTAAGGAAAATATCTCAATTAAAAGAATATTACTAAGGAGAGGGGAGTAGAGAGATGGCTCAGCAGTTAAGAACACTTGCTGCTCTCACAGAGGACGCAGATTTGGTTCCCAGCATCTACACAGTGGCTCACAACCATCTATATCTCTAGTCCCAGGGTATCCATCCTCCTTTATGAATTCTGAGGACACCAGGCACACACATGTCCATACACATATATGAGTGTGGGCAAAACATCCATACATATAAAAATAAGTCTGAAAGAAAAATCATAAAGAATACTATTACTATGACTGGGGAGGACAGTGAGGAGAGACAAGGTTTCCTTGGCAGCAAAACTGACCTGGGATTCCAGGGCTGTTACCAAGTCTTGTTTCCATGGTTACTACTAGTTATCTCACCTTCTAAGTGAGGAAGACATTCTTCCATCTCTGACTCTCTGTAACATCCAATATTCCAGGTCTTTCTTGGGTGACACAGAAAAGTAAAGAAATGTCAGAGAACTCTCTGCATTTGGCTTCATCATATCCATATTCCTTTGAGACCTCGAAACTACTTTGGGGTGCTGCATGGTTCAGGGAAAGCTTCCATCCTCCGGAAAGCAAAGGATTCTAGACATCATGACCAATCACACAGTAACATTTGGAACCTTGGAAGAGCATTCCCTTGAAATTCTAATAAATTGCCAGCAGCTGGCACTTGGCATTTGTAAGCCTTGATATCTCCACACACCTCAAGACAACCTGGAATCCACCTGTTTCCTACCCAGAGGTAGTCAGAGACCTCTGCTCACAGAGAAGAAACACAGCATGCTAGTCCAGGGAGCTCTGAAGTTTCCAAAGAGGCAGAGAAAGCTGACGGGATGAAATGGGTGGGGATATGGGCCCAGTCCGGTGTTTTACCACATCATTTCATTGAATGTCCATGCCAGATTGGCAATTTCCCCTGCCCATTCTTCTAGTATGGGAATGTCTGGAGCAGCTAGGCTTGTTCATTTGTACATGTATCAACTAACCCCCTCCAAAATGACAAGTTCTTTGTTAGGAATTGAAGAGACAGAGGCAAGCCAAAATAAACACACCACTTGCTCTCACAGAATTTACTAGTCTCCTGGGAGAAAGAATTAGTCAAAGAATGAAGAGCTCAGTCTAACCTGCCTGAGGCTGTTGGTTCAATCCCCAGCACTCCATAAGCTGGGAACAGTGGTGTACAACTGTAGTCTCATCACTTATGAGACAGCAAGAGGGTCACAAGTTCAAGGTGTCAGGTGACCCTGACACACACATAAACAAATAAGACAAGGGGAGGGCCACAGTGCCACAAGGACAAAAGTACCAAGGTAATCATGGCGGTGAACCAGTGGAATAGGAGGGGAGAAGCAGGAAGCAGGTGCCCACAGCCACACTATCAGTGAGCTGGGAGAGCCGAGCGTAAACCTAGGTCCATCGGACTTCAAGGCTATGCTTATCTCCTGCCATTTACTCAGTCACTAAGCAGCTATCCACTGAACATCTATTGTGTGGCAGCCTGGGGACACCAGGCACACACATGACATGACATTCATCTTCTGAAAGAAAGAGTATGACAGTAAGGAGTGATAAGGGTGCCAGGGTAGAGCCTCGAGCAAAATGAAACACACCTCCCATGGAATTTACAGCCTAGACATTAAACAAGTAGAACAAACACTGCAGACTGGGGAGAGAACCGCAGTGGATCAAGTTAAAATAACAGGTAAAAATACCTAGGAGGCCATGGAAGGCTTCCAGAGTTTGGGTAAGCCAATATCGCCTGTATTCTGCTACACATGGCAAAAGGCCTCAAGGCACATAGCTGCCGTCAGCTTGAGCAGCATAGGCCTGGCCGGCCTAGGAGCCCTTGGTGAGAATACAGTTGATTTCTATCTTGCCACAGTCCCTGTTAAAATAGCAGCTCTTCTAAAATCAAGACCAAACGCCAACTAGCTTACATATCCCAACCTCAGGTGGCCATCACTGGGTAGACATTCTGGGATCGTTCACGGATTTCATTTGTCCACATCACAAAACCACACTATGAGGCAGACAGGAACATTTAATATCCTACTTGAAGGATGAGTGGCTAGGGTGTATAAAATAGCTTAGACATGTCACCAAACAAGGACAACAGCAAACTCTGTCATCCAGCTTTGTGAAACATTTCTAGTAAGGAAACTGACCATCTGTGAAACAGCCGCAGGTTACCAAGCCTGGATAAGGGAGTCCCATAAAGTTCCTGAGAATTGATGGGGAGCATTAAGCAGCTCAGGAAAGGTTTCTAGAATGCAGCTTCACCAGCCTGAGACACAGGTGCCCTTGCCAACTCTCCCAGATTAGAACAGGTTCTCCTGGCCCCTTTCCAAGTGCCTCTGACTAACACAGAAAAGTATTTTTCCACTGCAAACCTACAGGCAGGCAGCAGACTGAGGGCAGAGAGTGCATCCGCAGTCCTGTACAGACCATCTGGGAAGTTATTCTGCTGCCATCCAAACTGCCCTGGCTACACCTGCCCATGGGGATGCCAGTCCCAAGCAATGTGTCTCCACCTTGACAATGCAGGCACTTGGGACTGCATCCGTTTCTGGTACCAAGCTGGGGGCACCTTGCCATTTTGCAAGGTTAGAACATTCAGTGGCAGTGGCACCCTGACCTCCAGCCACTGGGTGTCAGTAGCAAACCCCAGCTGTCACAGCCTAGTGCCTCTAGTCAATGCAGGTGTCCGCTGCAGGACAAGTCACCTCTTGGGGAAGGTTTAATCTTGAGACCTTGGAGAAGAAAGGCAAAGTGTCCTGTCTTGCCCCACAACTCTGGAGACATATGGTCACTGTGCACAAACTCTTTCCGATCAGGATTACACAACCAAAGCCTCCATATGAGCAGCTGTATGCTGCTGCAGTCCTCCACTGGAGCTTCAGAAACAACCAGAGTCAAACAACCCCTTGTACTGATGAGCCACTTGTGACCCTGCAAGGAAAACTTGTTCCCATTACTGTGAGCAGCTGAGTCTGATTAAACAGAAACCCTGTGTGCTTCTTCTCAATGACACCAGGCCAGGGCAAGGGCTGCCATGGCTGCTGCAAGGAGCACAGAGTGGTGAATCAGGATCCTCCCATTCACCCCCAATTCAGTATAACACCAAGATATTCAAACACCCAGCTTTTAACCATTCTTGACCCGGGAGAAAAGGGAATAGAGCAAGGTACATATACAAGCAAGCTGAATTAGCAATTTTATTAAACAGCTGAACCATTACTAAAAAAAAAAAAAAAAAAAAAAATCATGCTCTCAAGTGGGGGTGGAAACCTGAAGCTGAGCTCCAAAGCAGCTGGAGTGACTCAGCGCTGTCAAGAATGCAGTCGACAACCTCCCACCCCAGGGCTGGGCCCCTGGATCAACACAAGGTCCACTTCCACTACAGCACTTCAAAGAAGAACAGCTTCTGTCTTTCCTAGTTAGCCACTTAACCAGGTACAGAGATTACCCACAGACTCTCCCCCTCTGTGGGAGCAGGAGTGTTTTGCTGACTGCACTAGTGAAGACTACCCAGAGCCGCCCACCTGTTCACACCTAATTACTCAGCCTGCTGCCACGGCTCACTGCCTCGCTACTTTTCACTCCGTACTTGGCTCTGTGCTTGCATGTCTCATTCTGGAATCGGACTGAGTTCTGATATGAACCTGCCTCTCGTAAGGGACTCCTTAAGGGCACATAAACAGACCTTGCCACTTATGGGTGGATGGATGACGGGTGAACAGATAGATAGATCAGTGGATGAACAGATGGACAGATGAAGTTTTCTATCCCTATGTCCATGCAATCTGAAGTTCTTTAAGGGAAGAAACTATTTCTCTCCTAACAGACAATCCACTTTCCTGAGAGCATCCTCCAACCAGGCAATATCGAGGTTACTATGTGTCAGCCTTAGCCAGGCTACCATTCATCACACTTTGGAAGGATCAATTAAAAGCATCACACACACAAATGCTCACAGATCTGTAAGTACAAATGCACACAGCATCAGCATATGTGACCTACTGAAGACAGCTGAAGCTAAGAGAAAAAAACTTGTGAGAGCCAGAAACTTCTGGAGAAGCAGTCAACAGGTGTTTGGGAGCCTAAAATGGAGCCAGCAAGGCCAGAGAACGCCTGAGGTTCAGAAGGCCTTGCTGAGACATCAAACTGCCTAAGAACCTGCAGATCAGCAGTGACTCTTGGGCTGCAGGAGTGAGAGAGGCCATGAAAACCAAACTCCAAGAAGAAAAGAATATGACAGCCAAGAAAGGCCTGACCTAAGGCAGACATGAAAGCCAATGGAAAGATAAAGATTCCCAGACCTCCCAGGCATGTGGGTCCCTGAGGAACATGAGGGCTCAATCAATGTATACAGTGCAGGAGAGTCAAACCCAAGTTTAAATCAGAAAGAATGTCATACCAGCTATGACTCACTTCAAAATATTTACCAGTGCCTTCTGATGTTGTTTTAACTCAGATCAGGAAGAAATAAAAATTAAGCCGTCTCTTCAGTCATGACTAAGCAAATGCTTGCCCATACCCTGGACCAATCTCTGGGTCATGTTGACAGTCACGGACGCCCCTCTCAAAACTTCAAGGACTCTTGAGCAGAATGAGTTCACCAATACAGCCTTGCATTTCCAAGTGCAAAGCTGTGCTCCATCAAGGAAAAGTCACACCTAGCTGATGGCAGAAGGGATGCCAGGTCCTCCACTTTCCAGTGCTTAAAGTCCCCCTGCCCCCTGAGTCCTCAACCCCAAGTACAAGAGAGTGGACAGCTACTCTCACCAATCCCGAATACTCTGTTACACCCTCACCTGTCTTAGCAACCAGGTGTGTCCAGCCACTCCAGACAGCAGTGACCTTTTCATCCTGAAAGTAATGTGCTTCTATTCTCTGGGGCAGAGGAAGGAACGCATCGAGGGAGGCCAGCTGTCCATGCTTGTTACGGCCCCAGACATACAGCTCTCCTGTATCTGAAAGAAAGGTGAATGGGAAGTAAGAAATATGACCCAGGAGGGTAGGAGACAACTCTGAAAAAGAAACAGCTAAAAGGGATTGTTTCCTACCTATACCATGGCATTTAGTGGGCCACGCACAATATGTAATGTAAAGCTTACAAAATTCTGTACATAAGCTAGTGTATGTAACACATGTTTTCATGTGTGTGTGTGTGTGTGTGTGTGTGTGTGTGTGTGTGTGTGTGCATGCACACGTGTCCATTCCTGGGGGTTGGGGAGCTGCATGTAGCCATGAACAGAGAACACTGGGTGTCCGGCTCTATTATGTATACCGTATTTCTTTGAGGCAGGGTCTGCGCTGAAGCCGGAGCTAGGCTGACGGCCAGGAAGCCGCAGGAAGCCCCGAGACTCCACTCTACGCAGCACATTTTTATGTGAATGCTGAGACTCATGCTGAGGTCCTCATGCTTGCACAGTAAGCCTTACCCACTAAGCCATCTCACAAGCACATTTTCTGTATATTTTTTAATATAAGCCTATATTATCTTTTGTAAAGAAGGAAATGCTTAAACTTATAAAATAACAGGTTATGAGACACTATTTGGGGCTAGAGATGTAGCTCGGTTGGCAGAGTGTCTGCTTAGCATACATAATCACCCAGCACTGCATAAACTGGGTATGCTGGTGCTTACTGGTAATCTCAGAACTCTGGAAGTAGAAGCAGAAGTTCAAGGTCATCCTTGGCTACACAGTTACTTCAAGGCCCGCCTGGATTACAGGAGACACTGCCCAAAAAATTGTATGGTATTTTAGCTTAAACCTTTTTAAATGGGATTATTTCACTGCACTTACTGTCCATAGAAGAATGAGCTACCACTGCCCATCTGTGCAGGCCCTGAGCTCATCTGGGCCTCACAGCAATCTCAGGAGAGAGGCAGAAGTGACTGGCAGGGTGATGTAACAGGAGCAGGAAGCGAATGCAGAGTCAAGTGACTCTGGCTGCTATTCCTGGATCTCCTAACTAGCTATTGACCTTGGACAAATCACTTCCTCTCCAAGCCTTGGTTTCACCAGCTGAGTATGGGAAGGGAGGGCTGCTGGACTAACTGACGTCACTGCTGACTGGAGCAACTGGTGGGTGACCGCAGCAACCAGAGAGCACATGCCTGTCTACAAAGTAAAGTTCAAAGAAAAATTTTCGACAGAGACCAAACAAAATGAAGCCAAAGCTGTAAGTCAGCCTGTGAGATATCAGTCTCCAGCTCCTCTGTGAGCTTCCTAGGCCTGGCAGTGGGACAGCCTACATATGCACTAAAAAACACCACTAGTCACACCTGAAGTGTGGCTGGCCCACTGAAAATACTCAACGGACTGCATAGATACGGCACACAGGAAAGCATCCTTCCTTAATAATGTTCCTAACATAGCATATAAGATTTCGGACACCCTAAGTAAAATATATTAATAAGATTAATGTTACCTATTTCATTTTAGCTTTTGTGAGATGGCTCACATCCTGTTATACAACACTGTCCCAAAAGATAAATTAACCAGGGCCGGGACATGTTAAATGGCTTTTCAGGATCGCCTGGCTAACAAGGACTCACACACAACCAGTGAAGGAATAAGGAGCCAGGCCTGGTTCATTTGCTGAGTTCCTGATAAAGCTCACAGTACTGCTTGCCCTACAGTGGTCTCATAGTCCCTAAAATTCACCAAAGGCCAAACAGGATGATTACAGTCATAGCTCAGGAGTCTCCAAGTTCCCTTCATCACTCACTCGCTGTGGGACACTGGGCACAGCACACCATGTCCCCATTTCTTCACCTCTAAGGTGAAGGTGTGTAAGTAACACAGCTTCCATCACTGACATCCTACAGGTCTACGATGTGCCTCCGGCCTTCAACCCTTACAGGAAGGCAAAGACAACACCCCTCACCCACACAATGTCAACCCAGTGGATGCTGGAGAGCCACAGAGGCGCCATGGGTGTGGAGACTCTGTGGCTCAGAATATCTAAACCATCTTTTTGAAAGACAGACTGTCTTGCGCATGGGGATAGTTACACTGTTGCATCAGCAGGTAAAATTAAATTCTGCTGCAATGCCAAATGGTTACATAATCTACAAGGACTCCAGGGAAGAGGTCTAAAGAACACTGAACAGAATCCAATGTGCTCACAGCCTGAGTAAGATGAGAAACGAGGGCCATTAATCTTGACAATTTTTAACTCACTTTCGAAATATCAAAAACCAATTCACTTTGTGACTATACTAAAAATGATTAAATGGATACTTTAAAGTGGTGAATATCATATATAAATTATAGCTCCTCCAAAAAAAAATCCAGCCTGTGTATTAAACCATGGCACCATAGTTAAAGTGGCCATGCAGGAAATAATAAATTTAATCATATATTTTTGTTCATTTTTTTAAATTGACATTAGCAGGTAATTTGATAATTTCTAAGTTTGCATACCACCAGCCATCTCAAATCAATTAGGACAGAAAAAGAATGAAGCTTCATCTAGTCTTACTCCTACAAAAATGTCTCTTTCATCACTGGCTGTGGGCGGAGCAAGGTGCTTGCATCCTGCAGTCACATCATCTCTAGAAGAGATGTGGGACCAGGCGCCAGGTACAGGCGCCAGGTGCAGGTGCAGGACAGCTTTCCTCGTGAGGAAATGATACATGGCGTCCTGAGGGTTACCTATACTGCACAGGCTTAGCACTGATGGAGAGACGGAGAGTCAGGAAACTACAGTGTAAAAGCTGAACACGCCAGAGCGTGTCTGTAATCCCAAAACTTGGGACATGAAAGCAAAAGAATCAGGAGTTCTGAGGCCAACCTCACCTACTTACTGAATTTGAGGCCAGCCTGGGTTATACAAGACTATCTCTAAAAAAAGAAGGAAGGAAGAGAGGGAGAGAGTGAGAGAGGGAGGGAGGGAGGGAGGGAGGGAGGGAGGGAGGGAGGAAGGGAGGGAGGGAGGGAGGAAGAGAGAGGGAAGAAAAGAAGGAAGGAGGGAGACAAGGGGGGAGGAAGGAAGAGAGGGAAGAAAAAAGATAAAGAAAGATGGATATTTAGTGTGAAAAAAACCCAAAGAAGTGAAACAGAAAAAAAGAGAGAAAATATATATATATATATAAAGTTACATACAGATGCAACTAAATGGAACTATTTATGCAAATAAATAGGTTATATAGAAAGCTATAAGGATGAAGGCTAGGTAAAACAGAAACAAAGGTAAACAGAGTAGGCAAACACATGGAAAGAAAACAGCAAGATAAATACATGAAGTAGGCAGCAGCAGATTAACACAAGTTACTATAAACTTAAACAGTGACATACAGGAAGAGGGAGCGTGTTGCATTAGAGAGGGAAACGGTTTAGAAAGGACTGTGCATCCTTCTCGAGGTCATTCACACCTGCAACTAAAGCGCTCAGGAGGCTCAGGCAGGAGAATTTCAGTACGGTTGAGGCCATCCTGTGTTACATAATGAATTCCAACCCAGCCTGGGCTACAGAGTGAGACTGTCTCAAAAGCAAACGAAAGCACAGTATGCTGTATGGTCATGCACTCACTCACTTAACATTCCATCAGCCACACAACAGTGCCGACACCACACAGGCTGGGCGCGCAGCAGACTAGATCCCCCTGAAGCTCAGGCAGTGACACCCCATCACTGAGCAGTACGTGCTATATATGAATTTACTGTTGAGCTCTTGATCTTCCCTTCACAGTGCCCCCAGGAGGACGATAATCTTTCCACCCTGTATAACTGAGAAAACTCAGAGGATGAGCAATGAGCTGCAGCCTGACGTGGCACTTTATATGTACTTTATATGTACTTTATATGAACCAAATTAAGTTCTGACAGCTGCCCATGCAGTATGTTCCAGATGAAGACACGGTCTCAAACGCGAAAGCCATTTTGCCTAAAAGTATACCAAGAGTGGTACCAAACTCCCACTCCAAAATCTATACCCTCCCCCCACTCTGACTCAGCTTCATTCCAGGCCATGGCACGCAGAAATCTGAATGGCACGTTCAGCTGGTACCCACCTGTTAATGAGGCCGAGTGGTCAGATCCTGCAACAGCACATACTGCTATAGAATTCTCTAGGCCTGGAAAAGAAATTTGTTTGCTTTGAGCTGTATTTATGCCAAAACATATTACATGAAGAGTGGATTCCTGGGCCAAGCTTTACCTGAGCATGGGGAGAACCCCGCCCAGTACCGGCAAGCGTGAGCAGCAGTACTGGCAGGTGGCTTGGCAGGATGGAAGCAGTGACGTCATGGGGTTTGAGCAAGTCCATGTACTGAGGATAATGTGCACAGTCTTTACTATCACAGAAGGAAGGCACTGATAGAAACAGCAGGAAAGACAGAGCAACCATGCCATGCTGGAGCAGGACTGCAGAGAGCAGTATAAAGTCATGTTTCTGACAGAAGCAGAAGCATAGGGCTGAGAAGATGCCTGTGAAATGTGTGCACGAGTTTCCAAGCTCTGCCAGCTGAGGAAGGCTGAAGGCAAAGGGACTCAAACCTTCCAGCCCTATCTTGTGCTTCAACCACAAACCAGGCTGCCTCAGAACACAGTACAATTTTGTGATCCTGCTTCTGGCCTCCAAGTCTAGCACTTACCCTCCCTGAGTTATACTGCCTTCAGCAACACAGCAGAATCCCAATCCATCCTGTTAGAAGCTGGGACAGCCTGTGGGAATACAGGGTCTATCCTGGAGGAAAACACAGTCCTAGTCTGCAACTGTTTTTTGGAGACTTCTGTTTGACTGAATAAAAGGCATCTCACACTTTTAAGTGTCCGGTGGGATGAAGAAAGCAAGCACAAGTTCCTAGCCACACCCACCAAGCAAGGAGTCCTCCCCCTAGGACCCCTGTGGTAGCAAGGTGAAGGAGAGAGAATGCAAAGTGCTGGGCTGTGAGGCAGGAGGCAGGTGAGGCATCCAAACCCACCAGAAAACTCCCCAGGCAACTAACTCGGAGCTAATGTTCCAGGCAGATCTCAAAACGGCTGTTTAAATTAAACAGTGTTTTTTTTTTTTACGCCTTCTAGTCACTGGTTCAGTACTAAAACATAGAGAACAAAGCCCTGTCTTTCCCCTTGGCACAGGAGAAAACTGATAACCATTCACACTGGATACAAGATGGTGCTATCCACAGAGAGAAGTCAATGGAGGCCAGAACTGGAGAGCCATGTCCCTTCCACTTAGAGGGCCATGTCTGAGCCAGTCCTTGAGAAAACCCCAAAGCTTTTCCAGAGGAAGAGGAAGAACAGGCACTTCCAGCAGAGCTGAGGGTTTGTCCACAGGTACAGTGGCAGGCCAGGCAAGGGCGACCATGTTGCCAAAGTAGGATGTCTGAGAAGTGAGTCCTGTGAGACACACACACACACAGTCAGAATAATCTGGATGTGTGTATGCATTCCCCATTCTTACCCATCCCTTCCCAGCAGCCTCTCTGTTGTCCTGAGCCAGGGAAGAGTAGTTAGAGCTCCTATACAGGACTTCCTACAACCAACCCTCAGCAAACTGGGTTCAAAAGTCAATTACAGAGAAGAAAAGAGACAGACATGGTACACACACAAGGACAGGAAAGCCTACAAAGAGAGTAGAGAACAGAAAGAGAGAGAGAGAGAGAGAGAGAGAGAGAGAGAGAGAGAGAGAGAGAGCAAAAGAGGACCTGAGAACAGAAGATAAAGAAGAGAAGAGAGCCGGGGATAGCCCCTATTGACCAACTAACCAACGGCAGACTGACCAGCAGGCCCTAAGCAGAGTGTAAACTACCTACTGTGTTTTCATGTGGACACGCCCCATGCCTGCTCCCTACTTCCTCACTCATTCCCGCCTCCCTCATGGGAGAAGGACGTGGGCAACAGAGGCACAGTGCACAGTCTCTTTGTAGTGTGACTACCTGCACAGAGAGGTCATTCCTGTCCCCTTGGCCATACAGGAAACTCAGCACAGCTGACTCTGTGCGGTTGCCCAGCTGCCTTGTGGGCAACTTGCATCTAGGATTCAGAACTCATAGGCTTACAATATCACTACACACTGCTTCCAAACTCCTAGGTCCTATCTTCCAAATAGGTATGACCCATTCTAGAGCTTCCTTTTTGATCTCCACCTACCTGCTTATCATTCAATAGGTCTCAGATTCTAGTGGCAAAACAGTGACTTTTACTGGGACCACAAAAATCACCAAAAGACTGCCATCTCAACCAACAGAGATGGTTAAAAAGATCAAGAAATACCAAAAGCTCAAAGCTGGAGAGATGGCTCAGCAGTTAAGAGCACTGGCTCCCTTCCAGAGGACCTGGATTTAATTCTCAGCACCCACGTGACAGCTCACAACCATCTATAACTCCAGTTCCAGGGGATGTAACACCCTCCTCTCACCTCCCTGGGCACCTGGCATATAAATGGTACACAGAAATACATGCAGGCAAAATGTCCATATGAAGTAAAGTATGTGTTTAGAAAAATAACAAGGTGGGGGGCGGGCTAAAAAGACAATGAAGAAATAAGGAGCTCACCTGTCACTCTGCTGGGTTCCTTTGCTGTCAAAAACAATGGGAGATTCTGCCCAGGACACAAGCGTCGACCAGAAGATGCCAAGCCAGTCCCCCACTGGAACACACTGCCAGTTGCTTCCCAGAAGAGCAGAAGGGAAAAGAGAACATGTATGTCAGGATTAGACCAGACTGCCATTTGACCCTCACTGCTGTGGGAAACTCCCAACCATCTCAGCCAACATGAGCCCTACCCAGGAGCTTGGCTGCTTCAAGAGGCCCATGACCAGTCACAGAGATTACCACTGAGTCAATTACAAATCCAGTCTTTGGGACAATCTAAGACCATGAGAGAAAATTCCAATGTGGTAAAACTTCCTCTAAAAGTCCCAGGCACTAGCCCACAGCCACACCTCTGGAATGCTGTCCTGCTCATGCCTAACCTGAAAGGAGCCTTGAAGACCATGAATCCACATCCATTCACCAGATGAGAAAACTGAGGCCCAGAAGAGAGGCTGAGATCCAGCAAAGGTCACATGGGGAACGAGTAGTAGAGAAAACACTGGTGTTCAGCCAACACTCAGGGTAGTGCCTTTCTATCCCACCAATGCAAATGCAGATTCTCTATGGTCAAATACATGTGTATTTGTGACTATAAGACAGTACGGCAGCTATTTCAGTAGAGTGGACACTTGAATTTATATTCGCATCCCAAACCCCACAGAAGTGCACAGACAAAATCCTAAGCAGATGTGCACACCACAGAGCCACCAGCTAACACCAACGTCGAGGCCTGCTCCTCTGGATCATTCTGTAGGCAGCGCTCCTAATGTACAGAGACAAGGCTGCTTTATAAAGCAGCAGCTGTGACCATAGGGAACAATGCAGCCCAACAGAGAGTTGCAATCAACCAAAACGACATCCTCCGTGGGAAAAGGCTTCTCTGACCATCTCAAAATGATGGGTGTGTAAGGATCTATATCAGGATCTGAATCAGGTCTGCATACAACCATTGGTTGATATGTCTGCAATGTCTCAAATGATGGATTTTTCCATTGGAAAACTTTCCCAGCTATTTATTTTTACTTTATGTGTGTGAGTGTTCAGCCTGCATGGATGACCACATGTGTATCTGGTCCCTACAGAGGTCAGAAGAAGATGTCAGCTCCCCTGAAACTGGAGTTAAAGACAGCTGTGAGCCATCCTCCGCAATAACAACAGGGTGCTTCACCAGTGAGTGGTCTTTCCAGCCCCTCTTCGAAATTTTTACTGTAAAATATGCTGAGTAAAATGTATCCTCTTCACCATCGTCAGTGTCTAACCCAGTAGGACCCGCGCAGTCACCATGGTGAGCAGCCATTATCCCCTCATCTTGCAGCACTGAACCTGACCACTGAACTCCCCGTCCCTGGTCCCCGGCCCTGGGGCTTCCATTCTGCTGTCTTTAGTTCTGACTACATGTGGCTGGAATCCCAGCATTTGTCCTTTTTATGACTGGTATAGGCCACTCGGCATCACGTTCATCTATGGAGGAACCTGACAGCAGTTCTGTACTTTTTAAAGCTCGTACCGTTCCATGGGGGGGGGGGGGGGGCAGTCAGACATGCTGTGCACATGTGTGTGCCACACTTTGCTTGCTCGTTCACCTGTCAGTGGACACCTGAGGAGCTGCTTCTGCCTAAGTTGTGAATAATGAGTTACATCTGGTGCCTTTTATTCTACAAATTGTTTATCTCCTTGCCTCTTCTTCCCTTTCCCCTTTTTTTAAAATTTATTTGTCGAATTGGGTGTGGTGACGCACATCTATAATCCCAGCACTCAGAAGGCAGATACAGGTGGAATCTCTGTGAGTTCAGGGCTAATCTGTTCTACATAGTGAGTTCTAGGTCAGCCAGGGCTACATTATAATACTCATCTCTAAAAGAAGAAGGCCGGGTGGTGGTGGCGCATGCCTTTAATCCCAGCACTTGGGAGGCAGAGGCAGGCGGATTTCTGAGTTCGAGATTTTGAGGCCAGCCTGGTCTACAGAGTGAGTTCCAGGACAGCCAGGGCTACAAAGAGAAACCCTGTCTCGAAAAACCAAAAAAAAAAAAAAAAAAGAAGAAGAAGAAGAAGAAGAAGAAGAAGAAGAAGAAGGGGGGAGGGTTGTGGCAGCTGCGGTTAGGTAATAATAACACAGCCCTTCCACACTGCTTTCCAAAGCAACTGAACCATTCTGCCATCTACATGCAGAACTGAAAGAGTGTGTAGAGCAGGGAACAGCCTCAAACAATGGTCTCCCCTCCTGCCTTAATTAAAACAGGGTCTTTTGTTTGCTGGCTGCATACACAAGGCTCACTGACCCTTGTTATGATCTTCTGAACATCCCGCCCCCCTCATCCATAGGAGCCCCGGGATTACGGACACACAACCCTGTGTGGCTTTAGAGAGTACTAGGGATCTGAACTGAAGTCCTAACACACTGGTGCAGCAAGTGCAGGACCCTCTGAGCCCTCTCTCCAGCCCCACTGCCCTGCTGATTTCTAAGAGGACAGCCTGTCTACCAACGAGTAGTCACTGCCACACAGCTCAATAGTCACACTTCCAGACACAGACCCAGAGAAATGAAATTTACAGTCATAAAGAAAACTGTCCATGGATGTTTCTAGGCTATTGCAAATAGAACAAACTGGAAACAAGCCAGACAGTACTCAACAGATAGCTAGTTACAAACTGGCTGCTACAGACTAAACTGTGCCCCACTCCACAACATCCAGGTATGGAATCCCTAATTTCCAGTGTGGCTTTGTTTGGAAGCAGGGCCTGTTACCGAGGTGAAGAAAGCTAAACAGTGCCTACGGGAAGTGGGGTTAGTCCAATAGAACCAGCATCTTTATGGAAGTGTCATGAAGGAGCTTTCTCTGCACAGATGTACAGAGAAGCCTGAGGACACAGTGAAAAGAGTACCATCGAAGCCAAGAAAAGTGTCACCAGAAACCAGTCTTAATGACACTCATTCTGGGCTTTTAGCCTCTCGAACAGTGAGAAAATGAATTTTTGTTATTTAAGCCATTTGGGCTGCAGTATTTTGTTGCAACAGCTCCAGCAGGCTAACCCAGTACCACATCCATACCATACTTCTCATCACTAAAAGCAATCAGCTACGGATACACACAGCTAAGATAGATCCCCAGGGAATTATGACATGAAGGAAAGCCAAGCCCAAAAGGTTACGTACTGTACCAGGCGTCTGAGAACATTTCAGAAGTGACATTACAGACAAAGGAAACAGGAATGGCTGACAAGAGCTGAGGAGCTGGGAGCAGCAGGAAGTGAGTGTGGCACCAGCAGGAGGGACCTTGTGGTGATGAAGTTCCTCTGCATCCTCACTGTATCTGCATCAAATCCCAGTGGAGCTACTGCACTGTCAATTCTGCACAGTGTTACCACAGAGGGAAGCTGCGAAAAGAACTCATGGGGATCTATCCTTTAACAACTTCATGTAGGTCTATAATTTCCTCAAAACATAAGATTTCACTTTTTAAAAATGTGTATGTGTATGAATGTTTTGTCTGCATGTTTGTCTGTTCTCTACATGCATGCCTGGTGCTCATGGAGACCAGAAGAGAGGGTCAGATCTGGTACTGGAGTTACAGATCATTATGAGCTGTTGTGCGTACGCTGGGCACCAAACCTGGATCTTCTGGAAGAGCAGCCGGTGCTCTTAACCATGAGTCATCTTGTGATGTCACTCAAAGAGAAGGTTTAAGCAGCAGTACGACACAGGAACCGACTGGCACAGCTTCACAGACCTCCTTCCCTCCCCTTTCTGCCCTCGCCCACCCACACTTGGACTGGCACAGCATGGAAACTTGGCAGTCACAGGAGATGAGCACAGACACAGTCCAAGAGAAGCAAGTGCAGAAATTAAAAAGGGAAGACCCTGAAGGGTGAAGCTCCCCCACCCATCTCTTAGTTCCTAATTCCTCTGCTTCCTAGTTTCTCTCCTCTGAGTACAGCTAGCTTCTCACTCCCTCTCCCTTTCTCTCCCAAGCATCTGTTCAGACACACACACACACACACACACACACACACACACGTGCATGAACATGCAGACACATGTAGCAGCTAGTCTTTGGCATTGGTGGCATTCCTCAAATGTCTTCAGTTTTTAACTGAGATAAGGAGTCTCACTGGTCTAGAGCTTCACCATGTTGGCTAGGCTAGCTGGCAGCGAGCCCCAGGGATCTGCCCGTCTCCCCTTCTCACCTTACCACCGATGTTCATAGATTTGAACTCAGATCCTCATGCCTTTGGGACAAGTATGTCCCCACCTCACTCCTTTTAAAAGGAACTCTCTATGTACCAATTGTTTTCTAGACCCTAGGCCCCTTCAAGCCAAGCCAGAGCCATATTTACTCAATGCCACCAGCCCCACACCCCTATACATGCTGTTGGTCCCTCCGCCCACTCACTTACAGAAATCAGCTCATTTGAAGCTTTTCAATCAACAAACGTTAGAACCCAGTGGGAAGGCAACACCGCTCACTGTGACGTCTACACTCATGGTCTCTAGCTCTCCCTTGCCTCCCTCACAAATGCTTCCACAAACTCTTCACGGAGTTTAAAAAGACTTTAACTCACACACTCCTTGGCTGTGAGGAGCAAATGGGAGGATGAAATGATGGCAATTCCACATCTACAACAGAAAGAGCCAGGCAGCTCGCTTCCTTCCTCCCACTGGCTAAAGACCTCCCAGAGACTTGTACTTCACAGTCTCTCCTTTCAGTCGGAGCAACACCAGGACAGAACCCTTCCCAGTGTTCCTCTCAAAGTTTCCTCCTGCTGCTCTATTGCTCAGATGGGCTCACTTGGGAAACAAAGGCTGAGTGATCACCTGTGGTGGCTAATGCATGCCTCAGTCCAGCAGCGACACAGACAACCTTCTCTCTCAGGCACTGTCCAAAGAAAAGAACAGATTTAGTGTCAGAATCATTCATCTACAAACTCTTCTGTAACTCATGTACAAACTCAATGCAGCTTGAAGCACCCCCACCCAACATGCTCACACACAAAGGCTTTTATATCTATTGATAGATGAAATGTGTGTGTGTGTGTGTGTGTCTGTGTGTGCATGCACACAGGAGCATGTGGGCATGTGCGTGTATATGTATGTGTGTGTATATATGTATATATGTGTATATGTGTATATATATATATACACACATATATGTGTGTGTGTTGTTATGTGTGCTTATATGTATGTGTGTGTGAGCACGGGGACATGTAGTCATGTGTGTGTATACGTGTATATATGTGTTGTGTGTATGTGTGTGTATATGCACACAAGGACATGTAGACATGTGTGTGTATATGTGTTGTGTGTACGTGTGCGTACATGTATGTATATGTGTTGTGTGCATATGTTGTGTATGTGTGGTATGTGTGTATGTTGTATACGTGAGTATATATGTGTTGTGTGTGTATATGTATATGTGCACACGGGGACATGTGGGCATGTATGTGTGTGTTGTGTGTATGTGTGTTGTATATGTGTGCATATACATATGGGAACATGTGGGCATGTGTATGTGTGTATATATGTGTTGTGTGTGTATGTGTGCATGTGTGTGTGTGTGTGTGTATGTGTTGTGTGTTGCATGGATGTGAGTATGTGGGTACACATGGAGGCCAAAGGAAGACACTGGCTGTTGACTGTTTCAGCCAGGTTGGTGGCCACTGAGCTCCCTCAGTACTGGGCTGACAGGCATACACAGTCATATCTGGATTTTTTAAAATATTTATTTTACTTTCTATGTTCATCCTGTATGTATGTATGTGCACCACATGCATGCCTGTGCCTGTGATGGTCGGCAGAGGATATCAGATCCCATGGAACTGGAGATACGAATAGTTGTGAGCTACCATGTGGGTACTGGGAACTGAACCCAGGTCTTCAGTGAGAGCAACAAGTGAGTTGCACATGCCTGGCAGTTAACAGCTGAGTCACCTCTAGCCCCTACAGCTTGACTGTTTCTGCCTGAGTTCTAGAGACCCAAATCCAGGTCCTCAAGCTTGCACAACCAGAACTCTCACCGCCGAGCCATCTCCCAGCCCTGTAAAATAACTTTTTATAACATATCATATCAGAGCACCACATTGTACCACCTCTCAAAGGTAGCAGGGCGGGGACCTCCAAAGTCATCCAGTCCAATAGTTAGTAAACATTTCCTTTAAACAGCCAAATACCATATGGTTCCTGCCACACAGCTCAGCTCTGTAACATCAAACAGCTACGTATGAGAAAGCATGGCTGTGCTCCAATATGACTTAAATAGCAAGGGCTCTACCCTTCCCTTCTGACCCAGTCCCATCCCACCAAGGGTAGAAGCTCTTCTTTAGGTGGTCATTCAGCCTCTGCCCAGTACCTGCCTCCAGTCACACAGGACTCACCATGCCCCTGGGCTTAACTCTCTCTCCATCCTTACAAACCTCCATGTATCTCTAGGTGGAGCCAAACCCAGCTGCCTTTAGCTTCTGACAAAGCTTTCCAAATATTTGAAGACAGTTGTCATGTCCTCTCTAATACATCTTGTGGCAGTTTTAAAAATAGGTCCTCATATTCTGTGATACTACTCCCTTCTCGTCACAGAGCGTGATCCCCTCCCCTGTGTGGGCTGGACTTAGTGACACACTGCTAATGGAAAGAATAAAGGAGCACAGTGAGTCAGAGAGGGTGATAAAAGGCACTGAGGCCTCCTCTTAAGAAAGCCAGCTGCCAGGTCTGAATAATCACACAGAGAGGCCCTCATAGCAAGGAATTGTGACTCTGACCAGAAGCACTGTCACTGTCTCAGTCCAGCCCATGGAGGCTGTACACAGGCCTGGCTGTGTCTTCACTGCTACCTTGTGAAAGACCAGCTCAGAGGTCTCATTCCTGACCCTGAAAAGTGACGGGATGATGCTTATCACACTACAGTGATAACTAATGAACTCTAGACAGACAGCCCAGTTGCAGCAGCTATCTCTGAGGTTTCCACCTCTAAATCTGTTCTGAATTCCTCCTTCCCCTATGTCCTCATCTATCCCAGGCTTGCCTCAAACTCACCATGTAGTCAAAGATAAACTTGAACTTCTTATCCTCCTGCCTCACTTCCCAAGTGCTGGAATTAAATGCGTGCACCACCATGTCCAGTTTATGCTAGGGATTATACTAAGTACTTCCCAGATGCTGGGCAAACATGCTACCACCTGAGCTACACTCCTGGCTCTCAATCTCTCTAAGGAACAGTGTAAAGGCAGAGAGTGAGTCTTGTTGATCGTTATGCCCAGAGCCTGTGCACCAATGCACAGGAGAATCCATCACACCCGACGTAGTCTGACCAACATAAAGAAGAGGACTCTGGCCTCCCTTCTAGAGACTATATCTCTGACAGTGCAGTTCCCAATCACATGAGCCTTGGGCAGAATGGAATCTAACTACTAATATAAGTTTATGTAGATGACTCTTCTCTCCTATTTTCCTTTCTTTTTTCTAAAAATAACCGACAGGCCAGGCCCATCTCCGTGTGTTCCTACCTTATGGTCCCCACTCCACCCCCATACTTCCATCTTTTCCTCGTATTCCAGCCTGACCACTTGCTGGTGGCATTCATGACCCTCTTTTCTATGCTTCCACACATGTCCACACTATTCCTTTGGTCTAGAATGTTCTTCTTTGGCACCTGTTCTGCATTCTCGTATCCCAAGCCAGGGAAACCGCAGCTCACCTCTAAGAGTTAGCCTCCTGTTAGACAGGAGTCCAGCTTTTCCCTGGGACTATACAAGCATCTATCACGATTCTATCATGACAACAACACTGCTTGTGTTTATCATGTGTTACTAAATTATAAATGTCTCAGGTGGTAAGATGGGTCCTAACCACTAGTGTCTTTGCTACCTACATCCAGTGCCCACACATGGCAGCTGCCGTTCACAAATGGAGTCTCTATCTCTTCTTACTCCCATTGCTATACGGTAGACAGCTTGTCAAAGTGTTCTGTTACTATGTCATCCAGCACATTTTAACCATTGTTCCTTCCTGTCTTCTTTAATTATATCAACTATAATTAAACTAAATTAATTATAACATGTGTAGGTTCTTACAAGGCCACCTATTTGCACCTGGGAGTTACAATGGGGACCCAGAGCTCTACAGAACTAGACCTGTGCACAGGCTTTGGGAACCTTTACCCCGAAATAACAGGCTACAGGGAGGCAACTGAACTCCACAAGACAACAGAAACAGACTCAAACTCTCCAATGAAAATGCATCTCCCAGACCTCAGAGTATAGGGATTAGTTGGCAACAGGGGGGAATTTCACTGAGGTAGTGAAACAGATTATTCTGAGTTCAGTGTGTTCCTGAAATTTTTCCTACTTACATCAGGACCACTTACAATACTATGCTTTCCCTGCCCCCACTTAACAAAAACTAGAGTCATATGGGAAAATGGAACCATGGTTGAGAAAAAGCTTCCTTAAGACTGGCCTCTAGGCAAGTCAGTGGGACATTGTCTTGATTAGCAACTGATATGGGAGAATGCAGTCCACTGTGAGCGGTGCCACTCCTAGACAATGGGTCCTGGGAGGTAAAGGAAAGGCCACAGAACATGAAGCAATGTTCCTCCACACCTCTGCTTCAGTTCCTGCCATCAGGTTCCTGCCCTAAGTTTGTACCTCGACCTTCATCAGTGATGAAGTGTGGCCTGGGAGCCGTAAGATGAGGTAAACCCTTTCCTCTCTAAGTTATTTTTAATTACGATGTTATGACAGCAATAGAAAGCAAAGTCAGACACACATAACTTTCATAAACCTGTGATGTGAGACGTCATGAAAAGCGCTCTAAACCCTGAGAGTCCTCTTTCCTGCCCGCTCTCAACCACGTGGCGCTACTCTCTGACACTAAACGCATGCATGTGATTAGATTCAAAGCAACCCGGAAATCATGCACAGAGTTCAGAGCCCCAGTACAAAATATCAAATGGGAAATACCTTACTCATAAATGTTTTATTTGTGTTTATATAAACAACAATAGCTTGGGCAGATTCGTTTTAAACGTTTCTAAGGCGAGGTGGGGTGTGGTTATGCGTCTGTTAACCACCATGGGAGGTAGAGGCAGGGGAATCGGGAGCTCACGTCCACTGTTAGTTACATAACATGTTTGAGGGCAACCCAAGCTACATGAGATTCTGTATTAAAAAAAAAAAGAATCAAGGTTACTAGAAAGAAGCTCAGTAGTTAAAAGCACTGGCTGTTCTTCCAGAGGACCTGGGTTCAGTTCTCACCACCCACATGGGGGCTTACAACTGTCTATAACTCAACTTCCAATATCCAATCCTTCTTCTGGCCCCCATGGTTCACGGACATACACACAGGCAAAACATCCATATCCATAAAATGAAAATAAATAAGTCATTTTTTAAATACTAAAATTTGAAAATAGGGCATGGAGTCACACAAAAGGCCACATGTTATACAACTGCACTTCTATAAAATGGCTAGAACACATAAGTGCACACATGAGGTAGACAAGTGTCCACCAGGGACTGGGGCAGGGGAAGACAGGAAGCCACTGCTACTGGTGTAGACTTCCTTCTGGCCACGATGCAAATGTTGTACAGTTAGATAATGACTGTGGTGACCACTTCTGAGAACATTCTGAGAAACACTGAAGTATACATTTCAAAGAAACAAATTCAACAGTATCTGAGGCATATCTCGATAAAGTTATTATTTAAAAACTTAATTTCAGCCGTTTACTTGTTTTTAAGTGGGGCTTTTATAAAATTTTCAATCATATGACATTTCTTCAGGACCTTCCTGGACTACCATTTGCAAAATCTACTGTCTTTTTTTCTATTTGTGTGCGTGTGATGTGTGTGTGCGTGTGTGCGTGTGTGCTTGCGTGTGTGTGTGGGGGGGTGTGCATGTGTGTGCATGTGCATGTGTGTGTGCGTGTGATGTGTGTGCATGTGTGTGTGCGCGTGCGTGTGTGTGTGTGTGTGTGTGATGTGTGCGTGCGTGTGTGCGTGTGATGTGTGTGTGCGTGTGTGTGTGTGTGTGTGTGTGTGATGTGTGTCTAAGTATGTAGGTCTGAAAACATTGCATCACCTTGGCATGCATGTGGAGGACAGAGGACCTCTCCCTTCTACTTTGTTTTTGACAGTCAAGCCCTTTGTTTGGCTTTGGCCAGTTAGGTGTGACAAACCAAAGCCTTCATGGTTGCATAGCAAGTGCTTTACCCTTAAGCCATTGCCCCAGACCCCGAACTTAGTGTCTTGAGGCAAATCGCATCTACTTGGACATGTTTGTAACACAGCGCCATGATTAACAATGCACATATAAGGCATATCTCTACCGCCCTCGTTCATAAACTCTTATAACCTGCATGAAGAACAGACTTGTCCACCCAGCCGTGATCCCCTCAAACTGATCTTTAACAAAAGAACTTATTTTCAACTCAAGTTCTACAACTCCATGGGTCTTCAAGGACCTACCACCTAGTCTTTCATTATGGGAAAGGATGAATGGAACAGCCTAGAAACAGCAAAATAAAACTGAGATGTCCTCACCTCAATGGCCTGGGGAACCAGACATTTGAGAGGGCCATGTGGCACACCTAACTGGCCAAAGGCATTGGATCCACATGACAGAACTTGACCATTTTCTGCAAAACATAAGCATTCGGATTACAAATCTAAGAAGGGAGATGTCTGTGACCAATGGGGAAGCAGCAGAGATTGTGTGCCCCAAAGCCTTCTGACCAATTCTCTTCTTTTATTCCTCCAGACTGAACGTTCCAAAGAGTATCTACCACACTGTGTCCTTAACGGTAGATCATCGGTGCAGAACACTTAGCCCAGGGCCTACTACTGGAGTGAGGGAATGGCAGAGAATACCTAACCCCCATTTCACATTTCCACACCACTTCCCAGGTTCCCATGGGACAAACTCTGTGCACTGTGATACTCTGGGCCTCTCTCCTTTCTGCCTTTCCCCATATAATCACCCGCAGAATCTGGGGAAAGGGATGGACATGTATGGCCTGGCATAGTACAGGTTTCCCCTGTAAGACAGACACCATCCCTGGGCTGGTGTCCTGGTTTCTATAAGGAAGCAGGTTAAGTAAGCAGCACCCTTCCATGGCTTCTGCTATTCCCCTGCCTCCAGGTTCCTGGCCTCCTTGAGTTCCTGTCCTGACTTCCCTCAGTGAAGAACAGTGATGTGGAAGCAGAGGCCAAGTAAACCCTTTCCTCCCCAAGTTGCTTTAGATCATAGTGTTTCATTGAAGCAATAGAAACCCTAACTAGGACACCTAGCACATTATCCATAACTCTAAATGTCACTCCTGACCACCTAGACCAGGCACACAGTTCTCATGAACTTTGGGGACTCAAAATGAGCACTTCAAAAGATCTAGTCCATCCCCAGTCTCTGACAAATGTATTCCAGCCTGGTTTCTTTTATAGTTAAAATTCTCCTTGTAACAGGCATCCTACAATTTTCCTACATGACTATAGAGAACACCTGTGGTTTTAAGGGTGGGATGTTTGGGTAGAGGTGTTTGATTTATCTCTTAAAGGCACAGAGGCTTTTATTTAATCAGGGTCCCCCACTGCCCTTTTTCACCCAAAGCTTTGGTGGAGATATTTACCCAAGAGTGAACTTACCTGTGAGCATGATGGTGAAGTCCCAGCCACAGGCCACCTGTCGGATGGGACAACCAAAGAGAGGCTTGCAGATGGTAAAACACAGAACTTCCTCTGTGTGACCAAGCCCCAACTGCCCATCTTTATTCAGGCCACAAACAAAAAGACCCCCTCCATCTGCAAAACAGAAAGCTCCCTGTTAGAGCACACAGGGAGAGTCACAACTGCCAAAGTAAAAAGAGTTACCATGAATTACTTGGAGCCACAGACAAAAGGCTTCTTGCCCATGTTAATGTTAATATTAATGTGTGCTAATATGTTCTGGAACCAAAGACATCAGGCCAAGGGTCTCAAATCTAACGTATAAATAGAAACTCTCAGCTCTGTAACCGGTGCCAAACAGTCACCAAACTGGAGCATCTACTATCACAAGAAAACCAACACCAACTCAATCCTTAGACTGTGCCAGGAGCTGTCCCAAGAGCTGAACATGCAAGCCCTTTCCTGATGTGTCTATACTTTGAAGGGTCCAGGGACGGCTTAATTTTAAATTATCTTAAGGTGATTTTAATGTAACAATAACTCATATATAATAGAAACTTGGGCATTGTTACTTTATATCGGTATAACTGTATAATTTTTATAATTTCTTTACAAAGGGAGGGAGGAGTCCATGAAGACATGAATACCAAAGCCCTGTAAAAGCCCTAATACAGCCCTGAAAATGCCTTGAGTTCATCTACTGATAGTATGCCCACGGGACAGGTGAAGAAAAAAATGAGTGTGCTGGTTAGTGTTCACTATCAAACTTGACACAACCTAGAATCCTCTGGAAGGAGCATCCTAGTAGGAAATGATCCAGAGCAGGGTGGTTTATGAGCATGTCTGTGGATTATCTTGACTATTAATTGAGATAGAGATGTCCCATCTGAACACAGGCACTACTATCTCACAGGCTGGGCCCTCCACTGAGTACAAACAGCAAGCGGGCAAAAATGCCTTTGTTTCTCTTTCTGCTCTCAACTGTGCAGGTGATGCTCCAAGTTCCTGCTTTGACTCCCTGCAATATTGCAAGGTGAGTAGAATATTCAGTCAAATAACTCTCTTCTCCCCCAGATGCTTTTGGTCAGGCATTTTATCACTGCAAGAGAAGTATAAGTAGAACACTGTGGTCCAGGGAGATTATTTGCCAAAGCTGTGGATCTAAGAAACAACAGAATGGGCATCTGAGTCCTGGGAGTTTGACACCACAGCTCCCGTTCTTAACCATCCTTCCCTAAGCTAAAGCATGCGTGGCACCCAGGCTCAGCATTCTCTGAACTAGGCACCAAACAGAAAATTAAGGACAAGGTAAGGTTCTTGATCACAAGGGATATTTCACCTACTTGCAGAGGCTTCAAAGTGAAATTTAAACAGGTTGCAACATGTCCACCAATTTACTTTATAACCTGAAGCCTTCCTCTCTGAGCCTTATTTACTCCTATGGGAGTAAGGAGAAAGATCTTTAAAGAACTCAGAAGTTCAAGCTCTGACAAGCTACAATCCCCTTAGTGGTTATTTGGCTCTTTCACAAAAATAAACACTGCTCTCTGAGAAATACAAAAGACAAATGGATGGCAAGGTAACATTCAAGGGGAAAACATCTCAATACAAAAGTGAATGGCTATCCATGTGTGAGGAGAATTACCTGTGACAACTACAGAATGCCCTCCTCCTCCTGTGACATTCTTGATATGCCCAGGTTTACAGAAGTCACTCAGTTGCTGGGGCAGAAACACATCTTCCTTATGTCCAAGGCCAAGTTGGCCGTAGCTGTTTGCACCCTAGGGATAAAATACAACAAGGATGAGAAGCCTCCAGCTGGCAGCATCCATCTTCTCTGTCAGTCTCCCTGCCCTGACACACCTCTCAGAGCCCATGGCATTTCAATACCCATTCTCAGGAGGCTGTCTTGGGCAATCTGTGTTGAAAAACCAGGCCCATCTGTGAGCATCATGATTTCAGAGGAGTTCTTGACATTCACAATCATGTGTCTTACCTTTCCCTTCAGGTATACAACCCTGTTCTAGTTTCTTTTGTGTTGCTGGGAGAAGGGACCAAAATTGATTTGGGGAAGGAAAGGGTTTGTTGTAGCTTACACTTCCAGGTCATAGTCCATCGATGAGAGAAGTCAGGGCGGGTACTCAAACAGAAATCATGAAGAACACTACCTGTGACTCTCTTTGGTTCACTCCATGAACTCTCTGATACAGCCCAGGGCCCATCAGCCTAGAGATAGTGCCACCCACAGTGGACTGGACCTTCCACAACAATCTATCAGTCAAGAAAATCTCTCACAGGCCAATATGATTAAGGCTTTCAATTGACATTTCTCTTCCTAGGTGAGTCCATGTTGTGTCACATGGACAATAAAAACCAACCAAGACTCAACTGCCTTTGGGAATCAGCCCAAGGATCCCCTCTGATAAAAGCTATTTATCTAGGAAAGCTAGGAAAAGGAAAGATTAAAGGTAAGGATGGAGTGAGGGGGGGGGGGGGAAGTAGCAGGAAACACTGGGATTTGCTTTGCCTCCCCACCCCCATCCTCACTAGGAAGGAGTGACTTTTCTGTATTCAATTAGCTAAGGATACAGCGTCCCTAAGCCTCATCATTCCATCCGTCCAGAGCAAAAGCTGGACAATGGTCTCTAAAGGGCCTTTCCAAGTATAGTATTTGACAGCTCCAAGATTCAGATCCCCCTGGAGGACTTACACTATCAAGTCCATACATGGTACAGGTATAGGGGTAGAGCAGAGCGATAAAAGTGCTTGCCTAGCATGTTCAAGTTCCTAGGTTCAATCCCTAGCACTGGAAGGAAAAAAGTCTCTAATCTGAAATCCTTACTGCTAGGTAACAGGTCCAGAAAAGAATTCAACATGTACACAAGTATATATCAGAAAGATGCTGTAAAGACAGAGGCCATTAAGTGAAACAGTAACATCTCAGTAACAAAAGGTACAAACACAATAGCAAACAGACACTGTAAAGAGCCTAATGCCCACCCACAAGGAGAATCATCTCAGAACTTCAGAAACTCTTACGTCTTCAAGTATCTACTCCCAAGCTGGTTCTTTTGGAGGTGAGGGATAGGAGGTGAGGGATAGAGCTATTTAAATACCAGGTTTTTGTGTGTGTGTGTGTGTGTGTGTGTGTGTGTGTGTGTGTGTGGTTTGTTTTTAAGGGCACATAAATGAGAACACTTGGCTTAGAACAACTACCAAGGGCTGGAGGGATGGCTCAGCGGTTAAGAGCACCGACTGCTCTTCCAGAAGTCCTGAGTTCAAATCCCAGCAACCACATGGTGGCTCACAACCATCTGTAATGGGGTCTGATGCTCTCTTCTGGTGTGTCTCATATACATAAAATAAATAAATAGATAAATAAATAAATAAATCTTTAAAAAAAGAAATTACCAAGGTATGAATGCAAAACACACCTTAACAAAATCACCCCACCTCTTGGGTATTTCCAGCCACCTTGAGCTGCAGGACTCCAAGATGAAGAATGAGCTTTGTGGGGAGCATAGGTCAAAAGGGTCTTCCGAACAATAAACAGATCTAAGTGTGTCTCTGCACACATGGCAGGCACCCTTAATCCTCAAAACTAAGGAGCATTCACATTCACTTTACAGATGAGGAAACTGAAGTCTGGGGAGGCAAGTAATGATCCGTAGTCACACAACTGGATGAGGAGTTAGAAATCCATTTCTTTCTTTAGATCTTACTGTGTCCTTAAGAAAACAGATATGTATGGGGAACTAAGTCACACAACTCTAGGCCAGCAATTCTCAAAACGTGGGTTGTGACCCCATTGGCAAACCTCTGCCTCCAAAAATATTACAATTCATAACCGAAACAAAATTACAGTTATGAGGTAGCAATAAAAATAATTTTATTGTTAGGAGTCACCAAGGTCACAGCATCAGGAAGGTTGAGAACCCTGGCTCCTGCCTATTGCTCACGCCCATAGCCTTATCCCCTTTCTCTTCTTCTTTGTGTCATTCTTTGGCACTACAGAGTGAATTGCTGGCTTCACTGATCTACCTCCTCTCCTAGAAAGTCACCACATGAAGGCAGGGACTTGGTCTTATAGTTATTCTCCTAACCCTAAAACTGCACTGGCAGACTGTGGAGGTCAAGCGTAAGTCTCTCCACCCTGGAACGCAACATTGTTTAATGCACTGTCCAATACCGCTGACCAATGCAACACTGTTGCACAGAGTGAACCAGAGCGTATAGGTTGGGGTTTCTATCTTCTCTGGCTACTCCATTACCAGGCTTGCAGGCTACTGAACACTTGAGAGCAAAGCTACAGCAAAGGCTACAGCAATCCCGGGTTCATGATATGTATCAATTTCTGTGCTGCAGTAAAGGGTCCTAAACCCAAGATAAAGCTGGGTAAAGGAAATTTTAATATACCCTATGACAACTGTATACCTTCCTTCTTTACAAAGGATTCAGACAGTGTGTACACACATACATACACACACACACACACACACACACACACATATCCACTTGGGAGAAGATGGAATGTATTCCTCCAAAATATCTACGTCAAAGCCCTAACCTCTGACATATCAGAATATGACTGACTGTATTTGGAGACACAACCTTTAAAGAGGTAATTAAGGTTAAATGATGAGACTACAGTCCAGTCTGTCTAGTCTCTTCCTAAGAACCACAGATGCCCGCACACAAAGAAACAGCCACCTGAGGCCCCAGAGAAACCAAAAGTGCCCACATCTTAATCTTGGACTTGCAACACTGAGAAAATACATTGCTATTGCTTAAGAACCCAGCCTGTGGTGTTTTGTCATGACAGTGGAGGCCAACTAATACATGCACCCTGATTACACAGCAGGAAGAACACCCCAGCAGAACTCCAAACACACTAGTAAAGTGAAGTTGAGTCCCGTTCTGTCTCTGTCCATTCAAGGCCACAGCTGAAAGGCTTTTTCTATCAGATGGTTTTCCTCTGTCCAAAAAGACAGCAGTCTCCCAGATGAAAAATGACAGTGACACATTCAGTTATTACCGCCCCCCCCCCCAATTCCCTGCTGAACCTAGCTCAAGCGCTACTTCAAGAAGTTGAGCCAGAGAGCCAGGCCAAGCCATGCTTTCCTTTCTGACAGCCTTACACTCAACAAGTGAAAGGTATATAGATAAATTCTAATTTTGGCAAAAACATAGGTGTTATGGCCTCCTCTATCACAAGAACTGAGAATAGCTATGTATTTCCCAAACATTAACAAATGGCTGTGCACATAGGTAGTCATTCATTCGTTTCATTCATTCATTCATTCTTTAGTCCACAAATATTTCCCTGGGGTCTACAAGATGCCAGGCACCAAGAGAGACAATGTGAACACCACTGGCTCAGTATTCACTCTCAGAACACCTCCGCTGTAGCCAAGGAGACTGCCGTTAAAAAATCATGCATTCCATTACAATTTTGGTATTTAATACTAAGAACAGTAACATCCAACATATGCTTGCTGTCACGCATTCCCCCACGCTCGTGAGTATAAAGCATCCTCTCCAGTCACACGGAAGGATGACCATAGGTCTCTCAAAGTGCAGTGTCAAACCTGCCCAGCCCAGACTTCCACGCCCCCAGAAAAGATCCGGTCACAGCCGAGTAACAGCAAATACGCAGGGTCTGCGCCTCACGCCGCCACACTCCACAGGCCTCACATCCACAGGAGGCTACCCAGGGTGATGGCGCTGGAAAGGAGCCTTCCATCCTCCAGGCAAAAGGAGGGTTAGATGACACAGGTGGCCCCACGAGCTCGGGGACCAAAGGATCTCTCTGCCAAGCCTCCACGCTGTCTTCCTAGACAGTCTGGCCGCCAAGGGCTTTCCCAGATGGGAAAGGGCTCTGCAGGCAGGGTCCTCCCGAAGTGCTTCAGTCCCACGGGTGCTCATCCCACGGCTAGCAGTAGGCCCCTCAGGCACTGCGAGGAGACCCTCCCTCCGCACCCTCTCCTCCTTGCCGCAGCCCAGGGTCCTCCAACCCAAGATCCTGGCTTGGGCGGCCACCTCCTAGCTCCCGGTCACCCACGCAGACGCCGGGAGCTCCCGGGTCTCCGCGCCCCTTAGTCTCTGCCCTATCCCGGGGGCGGAGCCACGTACCCAGGCGAAGAGCACGGCAGCGGCAGAGACAGCCTCGGAGGCGCAGGACTCCCGCGCCATGCACACGCTCCGCCGGCGCTTCCGGGAGGGCTGACGCGGGGCGGGGTCTCGGAGGCCAGGGGGCGGGGCGAGTCCGGGAGCTGGGCGCTGCCAGCGGGACGGAGGCGGGGTAAAGTTAGGGATTAGGCGAGGCCAGTGGGACTGGAGCAAGCTGTAGCTGGGTATGGTCCTGCCCTGGGGCGCAGGGACTCAACCAAAGCACTGTCAGACCGCACCTCGAGACCGCCAGGGAACACACTCGAAGAAGCCTTACTACACCCACACTCGTAATTCTGCACCATGTTCAATAATCCAGAAAGCTAGCCGCTTGCCCCACGCTGCCCAGAGCAGATGACCTGGCAGGGATACCACAGCACGGTGGGAAGGGACCTGAGCTAAACATAGGAAGGGTCCAGTCCTGGGTCTTTCCGAAGCTACCTTGGCCCGCTTCTCTGTGCATTTGGGTACGGTGTTAGCCTTCCACTGCGGAAACCCACTCCTGGCAGCACAGCGGGGGGCTGGCTATTGTCTGATGTGCCCTTGCATTCTCCCTACTCTCTGTAACCCCATACTATCTGCCCTAATTCTGATCACCAGCATGGATAGTTCCTCGTCCAAGATAGATTTTCATATAATACAGCTTTTTGTCAACGTTGTCATAATGTTGGTGGGAGTTAAATAGTACAATGTACCAGTGCACACGGGGGGAGGGGGGGATTGGAATTTGGAATCTGGAAGGAGAATAAAAGATCATGTCCCATTTAAGCGATGATCTGCATTCGTAGCCCTGGACGGGTCTCAGGGCCTCATCACTCTGTCCTCCTAGGCCCTCACATTGAAAAGTGTCTCGGGGAAGCTACTGCCTAGGTCTCACCTGTTCATGCTACTGACATTTACTGCCTGCTGTATCTTGTGAGGGCAGCCTCCCTAGTCTTTTCTCCTCCAGACTGTGGTTTCTTGAAAAGATGGGTGGTGGTGCTTAGAAAGATAGAGACAAGCCAGGCAACGCTGCTCTTACTCTGGAAGCCATGAGAGAGCCCATGTGCGGTTCACCAGTTCACTGTTGCCATTTTGACCATTTCTTTCAAGCCTGTTGCGAAAGGAAGTCACAACAGGGTGTAATAGGAAGGCATCTCACCAGCAGTTCCCAAAGCAATAAATGCCAATAACTTGCACATTGTAAGGTAAGATAGATTCGTATGGGTCTTTGCATGCTGTCACAGTCTCTGTGTTTTCCAGACAAAATCCCGGCACTGAGGATGAAAAGAGGACACAAAGGCCCATCCCTGACGGAGAAGGTATTTGTGATTGATACTTCATGGAGAAAAGAAAACCAGTTTTCTCCCATGTAACAAACTGGGCATATCAATAACCCTCCTGGGTAGGTCTCATGCTCAAGAGTAGCTGACCAACACAAAACAGGCTCCATGTTTCACGTGTGCTTTTTATTGTCCTTGTTATGGTTTGGTGGTTTTTGTCTCTTTGGGGTTTGTTTCAATTTTTCTTGTTGGAGGTGTTGAAAGAGAACATGAGGAAGGTGCAGAAGACCCAGGAGGACTTAGGGGAAGGGAAAAATATAATAAAAATATATTGTATAATTTTAATAATGTTTAAATATAATAAAAAATAAAGTAAGGTAGGAGAAGCCAAACCAGAACCTGTAATGCAGGTATCTAGAAATCTGGGTGGGTTCCTGCCTAAAAGACAAGAGATGCTGAAAGGGATCCTGATAGGATATTTAATTCATCACTATTATATCAGTGTGACAGTGTGATGTGAATCCCACCCACCTCTAGCCCAAGGAAAGATGCTGCAGGAGGACCAGGAAATCGTTCAGACTGGAGGTTTTCTCGTGATATAATAGCTAACCACCAGACAGGGCTGATATCTGGTCAGAGAGAGCTGGAGACTATGGGAGTTCTGAGAAAGTCAGCATAAGCAAATTGGCAGAGTCTTAGACACTGTTGGAGAGAATCTATAGTGATCAAATGACACCCATGGGACAGTTGGTCACCAGATTCCCAGAGACTGATGGAGATGAAATCCGTAGCCCAGTCAGAGAAAGACACCATTATCAAGAGATGCTGAGGCCTTGTTAACCACCCAAAAGACCGTGAACTGGTACTATGAACAAGAGCAGGAAAGGCTGGTACCAACTCACAACACTCAGTCTAAGGGGAAACTTTCCTGCTTCTTCTAGCTCCCTGCATCCTGTCACCGCAGGTCCTCAAAGAGACCAAGCACTACAGTCCTATTCATCTCCCAGCGAATGGGAGAAGGGTGTGAGGAAATAAAGGAACTAATGAACTCTAGCCTCAGTCCTAGAAGAGGAAGATGGCCCTGATCTTAAAGTTTGAGGTTTCTATTACTTAGTACAAAACTTCTTTTTGTGGTACTTCCCATGGAACCCAAGGCATTATACAGGAGAGAATTCTAACACTGAACTACATCCCTAACCAAAGATGGAACCTTTAAAATAAAGGGGTAGGTTCCCCGAGGTTTCACTGAAGGTGCAAAGAAGAGCCACTTACAGTGTTACCAGTTTTATTTATTAGAATTTGAGAGGTGGGGTGGTTTAAATGGAAAATGTCCCCATAGAGTATGTTTGAACACTCGGTCTCCACTTGGTGGCACCATTGGGGGAAGCCACGGAGTTGACAGAATCAAGGTGCACCATCCAAAGCCAGGCTCTGCTTCTGACAGAAAGATTACCAAGCCGCTGACCAATTCTCTCAACTAGAAAAGCTGTCAGAAATCATTTTTCATTTTAACTTTTTATAGATTCTTTGTGAGTTTCACATTATGTGCCTGAATCACACTCGTCTCCATCCCTCTGTATCCTCCCTCTGCCCTTGCAACCTCCCCCAAAAAGAAAAGAAACAAAAATACAAAACAAAATTTACAAAAATAAAAAATAAACAAAACAAAGCGTATTCTCATCATGAAAGCTGTAGTGTGTCACAGTGTGTCCCACAGTACACTGATTTTCCATTTTTCTTTACTTCAGATGTGCATTGCAATGAGTTATGGGTCTAGTTTGAGGCCTCTGGCTTCTGCTACACTATCGATACTGTATTCTCACCAGGACTCCTCTCAGATACCCTGTTGTTACTCTGGGTGGGGATCCTGCAGCTTTGAATCTGTAGAGCCAGCCCTTCACATGCTCCAGCAGTTCACAGATGGGGTAGATGATGGCCCGAGCCAACTCAAAGCCCTGGAGCTGGGCCTTTGTGGTAGCTGAGTCGGTCAGCCTGCCAGCTCTCCCACACCCACACCACCAGGACGAGCTCTCTAGCACTGCCCCGGCTAGCTCACACAAGGCTGCAGAGGGCAAGGGGTAATGTCAGCTCTCCAGCTATCATGACCCCAAGACCAGCTCTCCCAACTGAACCAGGTGGCAAGGGGCAAGGACGTGAAGTGCATCACCCCATGACCATAGCCTATGAGTGTCAGGGGCATCTTCTCCATGCTCACCCTAGGGCCCCTTTACCCACAGCCCTGCCACCAGGGCCAGTTCTATTCTGCTGCCTAGATGAGGTGCAGCCCCATTCTCCCGAGTTCTGCAGCCAGTGAGGGTCAGGGCCAGGTCTCAGAAAAGAGTTTTTACATATATTTCAAGTCATTGGAGAGCTTTCAAAGCAACAGAAACTCAAGGGGCTGTGACAAGAAGACAAAAAATGATACCAGGCCCTCTTTCTTTCCTTGAAGCACCTGCTCATTAGCCGGCAACACCTAGGAGGCTAAGAATCTGGATTGAGAGCAGCTGTTGTGACACTGAGCATTGATTTTACAGTACAGAGGAGATTGAATTATGGACAGAAGCAGAAGCCAAGTCCCCTGATGGACACGTAGGTGGGATCCCTAAAGGGCTACACGTTGACAACAGCGGTGAGCTGGAAGTAGACCAGCCTCACCAAGCTGAAGCTTGGCTTCTCATTGGCTCCATCCCCACCTGGACCAAGAAGATCTTCCCATGCCATAATAAGCACTCTGCCTGCAGGACACAGCAGTCCTTCTCTCTGGAGGAAGACAGAGTCATCCAGAAGCTGTGGGGGAGTTCTACTTAAAACAGTCGTCATTAATGCTTCTTTTACATATAGAAATTAAGATATTGGAGTTCAGAAGAGGGCATCAGAACTCCTGGAGCCAGAGTTAGAGGCAGATGTGGGTGCTGTGACTCAAACGCTGGTCCTCTGCAGGAGAAGTGAGTACAGTTAACTGATGAACTGTCTCTTCAGCCCCATGAATCTGCTTCTTACAGAGCCTTCTCATGACATAATTTTCTCCAGTAACAGCGCAGGAGAGGAAGCTCATGGTCAGGTGGGGAACACGAGAGGGGAAACCTTCCCAAGAGGTAGTGATGGTGGCCAGGTGTGCTCGGCTTAATGGAGCTCATAACCACACACTTTAAAGAAGCAAAGTGACGTGTAGTTTTTATTTTATATTTTATGTTGTTTTAATGTTTTAAAGAGGTATGCAAAGTAATGGGGTCCATTGTGGCATTTTCATATTTTGTCCTCCCCGGTGGCTGATTCTTTGTACCAACCATCACCATTGCTAGGGTCTCTAAACTAGCAACATTGTGAACAGAAAAATGAAACTGTTTTTAATGTGTGTTTGACAAAAAAAAAAAAAAAAAACAATGGGGGGGTGGGGGGTGCAAAAAATGGCTCAGCAGATAAAGGGGCTTGTGGCCAAGCCTGACAACTGGAGTTTGATTCCTGGGGCCCACACACATAAAATAAAAGTTTTAAATGTGCTTCCAGTCAGAATGGCTAAAGTCAAAAATTCAGATGACGGCAGATGCTGGCAAGGATGTGGAGAAAGAGGAACATTCCTCCATTGCTGGTGGGATTGCAAGCTGGTACAACCACTCTGGAAATCAGTCTGATGGTTCCTCAGAATATTGGACATAGCATTACCTGAGGATCCAGCTATACCACTCCTGGGCATATACCCAGAAGATGCTCCAACATATAACCAGGACATATGCTCAACTATGTTCATAGCAGCCTTATTTATAATAGCCAGAAGGTGGAAAGAACCCAGATGTCCTTCAGCAGAGGAATAGATACAGAAAATGTGGTACATTTACACAATGGAGTATTGCTCAGCTATTAAAAACAATGAATTCGTGAAATTCTTAGGCAAATGGATGGAACTAGAAAATATCATCCTGAGTGAGGTAACCCAATCACAAAAGAACATACATGCTATTCACTCACTGATAATTGGATATTAGCCCAAAAGCTCACAATACCCAAGATACAACTCACAGACCACATGAAATTCATGAAGAAGGAAGACCAAAGTGTGGATACTTCAGTCCTTCTTAGGAGTAACAAAATACTCATGGGAGCAAATATGGAGACAAAGAGTGGGACAGAAACTGAAGGAGGGGCCATTAAGAGACTGCTCCACCTGGGTATCCATCACTTGTGCATTCACCAAAGGTAGACACTGATGTGGATGCCAGGAAGTGTTTGCTGACAGGAGCCTGATATAGCTGTGTCCTTAGAGGTCTGCCAGAGTCTGACATATTCAGAGGCAGATGCTCACAGCTAGCCATTGAACTGATCATGGGGTTCCCAATGGAGGAGTTAGAGAGAAGACTGTAGGAGCTGAAAGGGTTTGCAGCCCCATGGGGAGAGCAACAATACCAACCAACCAGAGCCCCCAGGGCCTAAACCACCAGCCTGGGAGCACAAAGGGAGGGACCTGTGGCTCCAGCTGTATATGTAGGGGAGGATGGCCTTGTTGGGCATAGGTAGGAGAGGAAATCCTTGGTCCCGTGTAGGCTGGATACCACAGTGTGGGGGAATTCAAGGATGGGGAGGTGGGAATGGGTAGGTAGGTGGGGGCACATCCTCATAGAAGCAGGAGGAGTGGGGATGGGATAAGGGGTTACTAGGGGGAAAATGGGGAAAGGGGATAACATCTGAAATGTAAATAAAATATCCAATAAAAAAAAACTTGTTAAGATCATGAACTTTGAGTTTATTACCCAGTGGACCAGCAAACTTTTAAATTATAAGTGTATATGGCACAGTAACATGAAGACAAGAGTGAAATGGACCACAGTTATCTTTATCCACTTCCTGGAAATTAACATACAGTCTCTGTTATTTAGTGCTTTTGAGAAGTCCTGGCTTCTTTCTTTCTCTGGTTTGGAAGCCAACTTAAAAATGAGCAATAATTCTGTGCATTTTGCTGTATCTTGCTACTTATGTAATTCCAAATGCCAAAGCATGAGATTAAGGAACGTAGGCACTCTGACGATTAGCATTTGTGTTTTCTTCAAAAAGTCAAGCATGCTGCTGCTGTCGAGGAATGGCTCTCTGGGAAAGAATCACAAGCCGTGCTTTTGGTTTGAGTCTGTCCTGGTGTTTGAATAATTATTAAAAGATTCTTAGGGTGGTTTGAAAATTCTGAGGCTCTTGGAACACTGATTTGCCAAATCACGCCCATCGCTTATTGTTTCTAGTATCCTAAAGTTACAATGGTACAGTTGTAGCTTTCCTGTTTATTTTAAAGTGCTTTAGTCGGAGCACAACCATTTAAAAAGCCAATAATTGATTCTTCAGCATCACCAGAGTCTTATGGAAATAACCAGAAATAGCTGATCATGCTCTCTGTCTGCTCTTTGTAGGATTTCTTTATAGGGCTTTCCCTGGTAATCAAACAGACTATAAACTAGCTGGTCCGTACTTCAAGTGATTTCAGAACATATCTACTTACTGGCGTATGCATGCGTGATTTCAGAACATATCTACTTACTGGCGTATGCATGCTCAATAGCTGTTAAAGTGAGTATGTTTACAAAGATCTGAGATGACTGAATTACAACCCCTCGATCTGCTTCCTTGTAGAGCATGGGATAAAATACAGCTTTCAATAGTTTCCTCTGAATTCTTAAAAGGTGTCTTTTAAAATCTAGTGTAAAAATATATCTAATGGGCTTGAAATGAAGCCTATTTAATGGTATACAATTTTACTATTAATGTGGAAAACAGAGGTAGAGTCTTAATTTTTATCATATGTGTATGGATGTTTTGCTGCATGTATATCTGGGCACCACTTGGATGCCTGCCTGTTATTCATGGAGGTGTGAAAACATTGGATCCTCTGGAACTAGAGTTACAGATGGTTGTGAGCCAGTGTAGATGCTGGGAATCAAACCAGGGTCCTCTGGAAGAACAGTACTCTTAACTGCTGAGCTCTGTCTCTTACCCTGGTATTGAACTCTTAAACTGCACTGTAGGATCTTTCTGTCTCTGTCTCTGACTCTCGTCACCCCCTTTGTTTGTGTGTGTGTGTGTGTGTGTGTGTGTGTGTGTGTGTGTCCGTGTGTGTCCTCCTCCCTCTTACCCTCTCTGCCTTCTTCCTTCTCTAAATCCTTCACTCTTTCTGTTTCCATCCTTAAAGAAGTTTATAGCTTTACGAAGTTTGCTCTACTACATTCCCCCATCATGCCTTGTTTCACCACTGGCTTAAACCACAGGAACAACTTGTAATGGATCAAAGCATCCAGAATAAACCTTTTCCTCTTTATAAGCTGATTGTCCCTGACACTTTGTTACAGTAATGAAAAGTTTATACAACTGCTTATGCCAATGCCACCCGGCTGACACCACATGTGTTCCAATCCTCACAGCCCTCACATAAGTACAGTCTCAGATACAAACTGCTCTCCTTGACCCTCCTCCATTCCCATCCCCGTTTCCTACCCTCTGTGCTCCCACATCTTCTCATTATGTCCTAGTGTGATACCCTGAAATAAAGTGCCAGAGAGCACTGGAATCGTAGGCATTCTCATGCCTGGCTGAGTCTTGGTGCTTTCTATGTCCCTGTCTGACACTGCACTTGAAGCCAGCCTGCTCTTTACTAGCCGTGCTCTAGAGCAAAGCCATGTGCACTTCTGTTTCAGCTAGTCTCCTTGAAGTCTAGTGTGTGACTATGCCTGGGCTGTCATGAAGTCAGTGATAGGGAACAGATACAAATACACTCATTGTGGTGTCCAGAGTAGCCATCCACTAATGAAGGATGGGGAAAATGACGTCACACTGAGTCCAGCTCTGGCTGGTGTCAGACAACTCGCCCATCAAAAATGGGCATTCAGTAGGAAGGCCATGAATTTAAGAGGGAAGGGTTGGAGGGAAGAAAGGGAAAGGGGAGAATGATTCAATTATACTTTAATGAATAAAATATTTTAAATGCGCTCCTGTGGATCATGTGGCAAGTGAGTCATAGCTCCCTAAGCAGATGCCAGAAGACAAAACAGAAGAAGGCCAGCAGTGCCTGGTATGCACTTTCAGAGACAATGAGTGAGTGGCTACAGAGAGAGGTGAGAGACATTGCTAACTTGGGAGCTGCTGTCCCTCCCCAAGCAGGTCTTTAAGGGAAGCAAGAACTGGCCCTGGCTCTGGACTGATGTTCAAAGGCTTTCTGGATTTGCACCAGAAACCATCACACACTGGGCCACCTGCTGACCTTAGCAAGGGCATCGCTGACGACATCAAGGTCATATCGCAACTCATTCATGGCGATAGCTATGCTCTTGGTGTCTCTCAGAACCTGGATGCTCTGTGAGTACGGATTGTACTTCACTCCAAACGGGCGCTTCACGGTCTTGGCAAATTCTCTATTTAAGACAACAAGTAAGGGAATGTTAATGTCTGTGACAGTGGGTGTCAAAAGTAAATAAAGGACAAAAGACCTGGTCACACAGAGACACAGACATGCACAGAAACACAGAGACACAAAGACAGACACACACAGACACACACACAAATAGACACACACACAATCACACACAGTTACACACAAAGACACACACACAGTCATACATAAACACACAGACACACACAGTCACACACAGACAAACACACACACAGAGACACATACAGTCACACACAGACACACCCACACTGACAGACACACCCACAGAGTCACACACAGACATAGACACAGTCACACACATAGTCACAGACACACACGTACACACATTCGCACATGTGTATGTGCACACACACACACCTGCTTTCTCTGTCATGACAGCAGAGGTCCCAATCGCCTTTCCCACTGTAGCCTCAGTGGGAGAGCATGAATGAAATGCATCTCCCCTCCCCCTCTCTCTCCCTCTCCCTCTTCATTTCCTTCCTCTCCATCCTCCCATACTGGGCATTAATCCCATGTCTCATGCCATGGAAGTGATCTACAACCCATCTCTTGACCTCTTGGCTTCACTAAGGGCGTCAAGCTCAGTAACTTTATCTGTCAGTAGATACTGGCAATACTGAACCACATAGTAACAGACTCCTCTGCTAGGCTTTACATAGCAAAAGAGGGAGCAGAAAGAGGAGAGTGGGAAGGGTCCTACCCTCCCATACTTGTATGCTTTTTCTATTTAGAATCTTTCTAGAGTCCTCTCAAATGACTTGAATTCTCCCTTCCCTCAGGGTTTAAAATCTGTCTCCTTTATCAAGCCAACATTTGAACCTCTTATGTGTTCAGGACCCCCAAGGATAACGGCGCAGCCAAGAACAAATGTACATGCTTGGGGACGGGAATCCAGGTTCCCATCCATCTGGTCTCCCCAGCAGGGACCACTACAGCTTTGCACAAGGATGCCATCTGTGCTAGAGAAACCCCAGCTGCTATTGTTATTTTGTTCTGTGCATATCAAGCCCCTGGAAGATAAGCATCATCTTCAACCCTTGTCGTCTGCCCCTGTCCTCACAGTGTGGCTTCAAGACAACCTTTATCACATGTCGTTTTCTGGATCCTGCTTCCACAGTGACTTCCTCCCTGTGACCTCCATCTTAGTCCAGATTTTACTTTCACCTGGAGTTCACAAGAATCTCCTAAAAAGTGTCTGTACTCCAATTCTTCCCTCTTGACTACATGCTTAGTGATGAGTCAGAAGCTCTGAATGCATTGAAATATCCCCATGCCTTTCTATCTCTTTGTCTTTTCCATGCTGTTTCAGCCTAAAACCTAACATGTCTAAATTCTAGCTAGTCTTCCTACCTGTCTCACTTGCCTCTAAGATTTCCATGATTCTCCAGCTGGAGAGGAGATCAGTGGAGGCAAGACAGTGTTTCCTTTCTGTCTCCATTCTTGCCATTTTTCATATTACAGTATCTTGTCTAGTTTCTTTTTTTCCTGCTGGGCTACAAACTCTGCTGGGAAGAAATGGGGAGGAGCTAATCTCTCAATGTATTCCATTTCCACATGTGACTACTGAATCTATGATATTCAACCTACTCTAAACAACAGACATGTCCCAGGTAGAACGCTCCTGGCAGGCTCCCAATTACTGACTCACTCGTACGTCATTATTGTACCTTTGGACATTACTTTTGCAGCCAATGGAAGCTTGAGGGACATAGATTTTACCTCATCTTCTCCTTTGCATCTTCAAAGTTCTCAGATACAAAGTAGACATCCTGGAAGCTTGTGATGAGACATTCCTGTTTGCAGGCAACCTTGGGATCAAAAGGCTTAACTTTGGCATGTCCAGAAAGTGCATGCTAAGGGACAAAGAATGACAGTCAAATACTGCCTGTCTTCACAGAACACAAGACTGCAGCGGCTGGCACACCTCTGATCTGAGTTATACAAGGGCCCAGATGCACCCTCAGACTGACCTCCTGCGTCTCTATGTCATCCAGTCTAGCCCAACAAAACAAGTTTGTTGTCTCCCACAAATGACCCAAGACCATCTCTGTGAGGTTTTTTTTAACCTCTTTATCACATAGGAGGCACCCAAGGATCTTTATTTATTCCGCTATTTACTTATGCATTTCGTCACCTACTGTTTACATCTGCTAGTCACCTTTACCCTTGACTCATACCCTCCACCAGAGAGCAGCCTCTTTCAGCACAAAACAGTACCTTGGACAGCATCCTTAATCTGGATTGCTCGACCACACTTTAAGTGGATGGATAGATTAGATAGATAGATAGATAGATAGATAGATAGATAGATAGATAGATAGATAGATAGATGAGTAGATAGATAGATGAGTAGATAGATAGATAGATGATAGATAGATAGATAGATGATAGATAGATAGATAGATAGATAGATAGATGATAGATAGATATCACTTCCCTACTTCGTACAGAACCTACTGCTCGTATCCCAAAAATTTGTCTAAAGCTTTAAAAACACTGTCCATTTAAAAGACGCGTTTTTTTTTTCTAGAAATTTGAGAGAGGAGAGAAAAATGTTCTCAAATTATGTTTACCGCCACCTAAAATATTTCCCATATTAAATGCTTGGCCAGAAGCAAGCTCTGCCTCTAGCCATGTTGATCACGTTAGTGGACACAGTTATGTGCAATGTCCATGACTCTTACTTTGAGCTCACTGATGGAAGAAAGCAAGCCGGCACCAAAGACTCTCAGCTGTCCATCTTGTTTGCACAGCCCAAACTCCACAGTGAAAAAGTAGCACTGCAAAACAATGTCAGCATCATGTTCACATCCTGAGCATCTCAGTCTAAAGCAAATCCCAGCTCTTAGTCAAAAAGTACATCCAGAATCAAGCCCAAGATTTCCAGCCTGGATCCCAAGTGCTTTTACAGTCTGGCCCTGCTGTGCATCAGGACTCTGTAAACTTCATGTAAAGACTATCAGATACAGTTAAAAATTACCAAGGAGTCCAGCAATCTCTCTGTGTGTATGTGCAACCCTAGCTATACTGATCATATTAAAGTTAACACAAAGAAACTACTTAGGTGCTTAAAAATCAACTTTAAATAGGGTAAACCCATTGTATGTAACATAAGTAACACTTAATGAAAGTGCATTCTACAAAACAATAACAGGAGTAGCATTGTTTTATAACTCTTAGTCATCCTTTTAATTTGTTTTTTTATCGTTCTTATTTATATGTGTGTATGTATGTGGGCACCCACAAATGCCAGAGAGGGCATGGGATTCCCTGGAGCTGGAGTTACAGGAGGGTGTGAGCTGTCTGGGTTGTGAGCTGTCTGGGTTGTGAGCTGTCTGGGTTGTGAGCTGTCTGGATTGTGAGCTGTCTGGGTTGTGAGCTGTCTGGGTTGTGAGCTGTCTGGGTGCTGGGAAACGGAACCCAGGTCTTCTGTAAGAGCAGGAAGAATGTTCTCAACTATAGAGCCATCTTTCCACTGTCACTTCTTAACTTTAATCTAATTTCTTTTACTTTCATTTGTCTGTGTGCACATGCCTGCAGGAGGCCAGAGGATACCTTGTGGGTGGTTCTTTCCTTCAGCTATGGGGTAAAACTCAGCTCACCATGCTTGGTGCCACTGAGCTACCTCGCTGGCCCTGGTTTTAATATTTTTACAGCCATCATCTTATGGACTCACAGTGTGGAGTGACTGAATCAGCTGAGCCAACATCTTGTCCGTGTTCACATCTTGTCCGTGTCTGGCCAGACATTATTTAATGTCTGATGAGATGGCAGATGGATTACCATATCTGTTTCTGTATTTAATCTTTTGCAGTATGTTGTTTAGGCTTGAGGATATGAAGAAAGCTCAGTTTGCACAGTTATGTAGCTAGAAATGGGCTGGGCATTTGAATCTGCTTTTCAAAGAAATGTGGATATTCTTTAAACTACCTCACTCGGCACATGGCAATCGCATAAAGTTCAGACTCAATGTGGCATGTGAGCCTGTCTATCACATTAAAAATACATTTTATATCTTTTACTTGTGAATAATTTTGTCCCAAAGGAATCCACAAAAGGTCTCAGGAACCCCTAGCATCCCTAAACCACAGCTTCAGAACCAGTTAACCTATTCCACACCCTCCCCCACCCTCAGCTGTTCCCAGCAGTGCCAAGCCCCTTCTCATATGTCTTGAGCCCCATCCCAAAAGGCCCTTCTTTCCCTGACTGATAAGACACCACTCATTTTTTTTTTGGTCTAAAAACTAGTATGTTAAAGCAAACTTGTGATTCTCTGTCTTGTTTTAAATCTGTTTCTTTTTGAGAAACCTTAAATTTGTATATCTTCTTTTAACATTATTTAAATTCATATACATTTTAAAGCAAAAGCAACTTTTCTAATGGTTGCCTTGAGCATGGACTTCGAAATACCCAAATACTCCTAACCACACCCAGTGGAGAACACTGAACTATACAGCTATTTCCAGATGTATACCGTTGCCAGTTTTTGAACAGTCTCCTCTGAAGCTCCAAGGGAAGCCAGGCCAATTTCTTGGGAGAATTGAGCAAAACTGGGTTCAGCCAAGAGAGGAACGTGGCCTAAGAGTTCATGGCAGGTGTCTCTGCAACAGAGACACAGTGTATCACACTGTGACAATTGACACACACACACATAAACAACTGTTGCAACAGAGACAGTCTCTAACACTATGTTGATTGGCACACATGTCAAACCCAAGCCAAAGCCAACCTTATTTTTACTCTAGCTTTTCAGGAGTAATCGATCACAAAGGATATTAACCAAATAAAGAAATGTGTTTGATTCCAAATCTTGTCCTCATAACACACATCCACTGCTACCCTAAGTCCTCCACCCAAATCAAGTCTCTACTCCCATGTTTCCTTAGCAAGGTCCTCTCTGGCCACACTTCCCCAGACTTTCCCATATCCATGCCTGTATCCTTTCCTAGTATTATTTCCTCCCATGGCACATGCCATCATCTGACATGCTACATACTACATTTACTTGTTCACCATCTGTATGTGCCCCCCAAATACACACTTTATGAAGACAATACTTTTTATTTGATTTTTACGTCCCTTTAGTACAGAACTGCATCTGACATCTAATAAGTTGCCAAATTAATAACGACACAATAATAATAACAATAATAATAATAACTGGCTGTGTATGTTATAGAATACACTTTAATGCCAGTCTGTGTTCTAAAGCCTTGACGTATGCTGCTTTATTGAATACTTACAAGATGCCCTGTGAATGGGTACCATTATTATAAATACCATCTGATGAATGAATAGCATGAGTACTTACGGCTCCGGAGTATAGAGGGGGTCTGAACTGTGTCTCACATACTGAGTGCAGTGAAAGACTCGAAAGGCTAACCCTGACAGGAAATCTCTCGGTGAGAGGTAACCAGCCACAGGACGGATGGAAAACCCTGTGCGTTCTGCAAAGCAAAGGAGAAAACAGAAAACTTTCCCCTCAAACAGACTGCTGACACTGGCCAGCGGCCCTAGGTAGCACTTTCAAGGGATGTGAAAATTAAAGTGTAGCATATAGGTGGGACAGGAAGCTAAGCATCATGAAGCACATCCCAGGGTCAGAACCTTTTACACACTGTATCTCCCATTTGTGCTTACAAAAGGACTCTTCTCGTTATTCTAACAGCTATAAAATACTGGATAATGTTCTCAAGAACCACTGGAGATGATAAAGGTAGAATACAAATTCAGGAGGGCTTAGATTACCCTTGGCACCCTCCTTCAAACACGGAGAACATTTTAACTCTTACACACCGACAATGGAAATGTAAACTGGGGCAGCCATTATGGAAGTTTCTCGAAAAGAAAAAAAAAAACTGAAAATAGAACTCGAGGCGGACAACTCCTGGGCATATTCCCCACAGGTACTGAGTCGACACACCACGAAGACACTGTGCGTCCATGCTTATTGCTACACTCTTCACAGTAGCCAGGGGACAAAGTCAGCCGAGACGTCCACCAGCAGAGAACGGGTAGAGACAAGCAGTTCATATACACAGTGAGACTGCATCCCATCATAAAGAAAAACGACATCATAACATTTGCAGGAACACGGATGGAACTGGGGGTCATTGTAGTAAGAGGAGTAAGCCGGGCTCAGAAAGACAAATACCGAATGCTTCCTCTGACATGCAGAACCTAGGTTCAAATCCCTGTGTGCGTGGTGGGCAGGGCAGAAGGGATCTTAGGGGAGGAGGGGACAGCAGGTAGGGAGCGTAATGGAATGCGTGTGACATGAAAGCAGAAGAGGGACTGTTGGGGAGAAGAAAGGGGTGGTGACGGGTGATGGCTTTGGACACGTGGCTTATCAGTATAAAACAACAATGGAAACTTTAACCTTGCATGGTACTTCAATTTTTTTGGTATGGTAAATTATGATAAATTAATTTTAAAGTATTTTTATGACAGCCATTTAATCTGTGTTATTTTTAAGCATTGTTATCGTCTATACTTCTTTTTATAAGTTTCACCTGACCTGGATGGTTCTCCTCCACCAAATGCCAAGACTGCCTTCTGTGTACTGGAAAGGGGGCTACCGGGTTTCATTAGCTCAAGAGTTCACAGCGTACTCTGTCTGGTACCTCACACTATACGTCCCAACACTGACGGTCCAGCTCCATGCAGTTGCTGGTAAGCCTGTCCCCTCACTGGTGGGCAGAACGCTATGCAACAGTCTCCCACATTTCTTGATGGGATGGAGCAACAGCCATCTGTCACCAGTGAGCATTTCACATGTGCTAGTGTGGCCAAGGCCCTAATACCCGTTAATTGTTTACAATGTAAAAGGCCACATGTATCCAGTGGCCATCATGTCTGACAGTGTTCATATCCTCATCTGACACTTGATGTGAACTGTACTCTTGGTTTTGGTTTCTCTCGTTGAAAATTTTGATTTCTCTCTTTGACACTCATTTTTGATACAGCAGAATGGCTCTGTGGCCAGCTCATCTCCAGACCCCAAGAGACAAGCTTTCAGTTTTATATCCACAGCAAAATGTTTCCTGCGATAGTGACTGAACAACACCTGTGACATCCTCAGCGTGCTGTGTGCTGCGTGCTGCGTGCTGCGTGCTGTGTGAGTCCAGTGGGGCCAGCTGCGCCGATGATATCCCATGTTTTAAAAGCTTAGTTTTTAACAGGATTTCTACCCTCATGAGACAATACCATGTTTTCCTGATTAGTCCCTTTAGGTTTTTAGGTACAGTTTCTTAAATAAGAAGTAAAGGGTTGAATAAATAAATGGGAAGCAGTTTGTTAACAGTCATGTAAGAAACTCAGACAACACTTTCAGCCAGGAACAAAAGATTAGCAATATGAGCCAAAAGCATAGCTGGGGGGTGCAGGTCAGGGACAGAAGTCTCACCAAGCATCCCTGACACCCTGTGCCGAGAGCCAGCACTGTACAGCAGCCCTTCCCACCAAGGTCTCTGATTTGCTGAGACAAAAGGAGACAGCGATTTTTCTTAATTAAGCACCACAGAGTCTGGAGATTCATGATCATTTGACTTTCTACATCAGCTAGAGACTTGTCTCCTCAACTACATCCTGCCTTCAAGGCAGAGACTTAGTCCAGAAACCCTCCCTGATAGGATCTAACCATTTTACAAGCCTGGTCTCGCATGGGTGTTCTATTAAGGTCTCCATCTTTATTTAACAACCATATAGTAAGGCTGGAGAGATGGATCACAGGTTGATAGCACTAACTGTTCTCCCAGAGGTCCTAGGTTCAATTCCCAGCAACCACATGGTGGCTCACAACCATCTATAATGAAGTCTGATGCCCTCTTCTGGCATGCAGGCAGAACACTGGGTACATAATAAATAAATCTTTAAAAAAAAAAAAGAGCCATATAGTTCCAGTTTGTCCAATGTTTAAGCATTTAGGAAACATCCCCTATATCTCCAAGTTAACGCCCAAAGTGTCCTTCAGAGTTAACTGTGTGATGCATTTCCAAATTTCCTTGCAATCTGTTCCCTTTGTGCTCTAAGTCAGTGCTTCTCAACCTGTGGGTCACGACCCCTTCCACAGGGGATGGAAGGACCCTTTCACAGGTGTTGCTAAGACCATTGGAAAACACGAGTATTTACATTGCAATTTATAACAGTAGCACAAATTACAGTTCTGAAGTAGCAACAGAAATAATTCCATGGTTAGGGACCACCACATGAGGTCCTATATCAAAGGGTTGCAGCACTGGGAAGGTTGAGAACCAGCACTCTAAGGTACTTGGATTCCTTTTTTCCAACGTGGTGCCCAGTCTTGGATCCAAGCTGAGTTTAGGAGCTTCTGGACCTTCCACATAACTAGACTTCATTCCTCCACAAACAACACTCTCCCGGTCGGAACAGGTCAACAGACCCCCCACACACACAGCTGCATGGGTGTATTACCTTTTAAAAAGTTGGAGACATCTTCCAGTTGTGGGATGTTGTCTTCCCGATAACCACAGTATTTTGAGAGCAAAGGAAGGTTTCTGAGGTACTCTCTGCAGGCATGGGTCGGGTAGAGTTTGTTTAGCTCTCGGAAGATGGTTCCCCAGGTCTTAATCTCTTCTTCTGTGAATTCAATCCTGGGAATGGGGTCCCCACTGAGGAGATGGAGATGGGGAATTCTGCACTGTAGTTAGATAGTTATAGTCTACCTACCAAATAAACATAGCTTACTCCATTTATTTTGCTCTTTTTGTTATCTCAAAGTTCAAAGTGTTGGCTTGTAACATACTTACTGTTTGTAGTTCATAGCCAACTCTGCAAAATACTTTCGTCTTCTACGATAGACATTGTCTTTGAAGCCCTGAAAATTGAAATTAATCAAATATTGAAACTAAAAGTACTTGAAGATGACACTTTAGAAATACTTCATTGGGGCTGGAGAGATGGCTCAGAGGTTAAGAGCACTGACTGCTCTTCCAGAGGACCTGAGTTCAATTCCCAACAACCATGGTTCACAACCATCTGTAATGGGATCCGATGCCCTCTTCTGGTGTATCTGAAGCTACAGTATACTCATCTACATAAAATAAATATATCTTTTTTTTTCTTGTTTTGTTTTTTTGAGACAGGATTTCTCTGTGTAGCCATGGCTGTCCTGGAACTCACTCAGAAATCCACCTGCCTCTGCCTCCCAAGTGCTGGGATTAAAGGCATTCTCCACCACTGCCCAGCTCTTTTTTTTTTTTTTTAAAGAAACACTTCGTTGTTCTGACCAGAGATATTAAAGAAATAGATAGTTGTTAGTACAAGCAAGGATTGCTTAGAGATATGTGACCACTTTTGTTTTGAAGTCAGCAGTCACATGACAGGTCTATCATCTAGTGGCTACAAAGTAAAATGATACTTTATATGCAAAGGCCCGACAGTGACAAAAAGGGACCATCCTAATTAAGTACATCACTTTTATCTTATTTCTCTTTAATCACTTGACTGTGTCTTCAGTTATGTTACCTATGGTAGAAATTAGTAATAAAACGGTGAGACTGTGTGTCACCAGGCAACAGAGTGTCTGCCTAGAACACTTGAGACCCAGCAAACAACAGTCAATAGTAAATGAAGATAGTAAACAGAATGGAATGCCAATCATACTAAAATGGAAATTAATATTTAAAAGAGTGCCTTCACTGGACTAAGATCCCCAAGTGGGGTCTGCTGTGTGGCGAGAGCTGATGGAGGACCGAAGGGTCACAAAAGCGCACAGGAAAGAAAACAGGTTCAGGATACAAGTCACATGCTTCCGGTGCTTGCACGATGCATGGATTATGCTGAAGACTACCGATAGTCCAGGCCTGCAGACTGAGGGCCACGAGGAGCTGACTGGGCCTGGGATCATGTTGCTCTCCTTTGGACTAACCACTATGCCAAGATACAGCCCATATGCCATGAAATAGCCATTCATAGAAATTAACAACCGCAATCACAGCTTTGTTTGCTTTTGATTTTGAGACATCTTGCCATGTTGCCAAAGGCTAGCCTTTGAAACTTGTAATCCTCCCACCTCAGACTTGCACCCAGCTGAGACAATAGGTCTGTCATTATGCCCAGAGACCATCCTTATCTTCTAATCTCAGACAAGATGAGTGTGTTCAGGGAAGTAAGGTCATAGACTGTACCATCTGATTTCAGAAAAATTGAGTCATCTCAAAAAGAAACATTCCATTCTATCTACTATCTATCCCTTCCTCACTCTCCCCCACCCTGCCCCCAACCCCAACCCCTGCAATCCAGTGATCTAGCCTCCGTCTCAGTGAATTCCCCTTTTCCAGATACTTCACATGAATGAAATTATACAACATGAGGTCCTTTGAGGCTGGCTCTGTTCAAGGGTCACCCATGTTGTGGCATGGTATTTCATGCCCATTTCATTTGTTTTGTGACACATGGTCTTACTACATATCCCAGACTGACCTCAAACTAGTGGTAATCCTCTTGCCTCAGATTTTGTCAAATTCTGGAATTATGTACATAAACCTGCACATTCATCTGCTGTGCCTTTTTGTGTTCAGTAATATTCCATTGCCCGGCTCTGCCTACCGTTCTTTGTCTTCTCCTCAGTTGATGGACACTGCCCTGTGTCTATTTTCTTACTACCATGAATAACAGTGCTATGTGGAAAACCACCGGCAATGTCTACAAGAGGAGGTCATCAGATCATTGTAACAGCTTAGAGAGTTTGAAAGAGGCAAGGCTGGAGGCACAGGAAGCAGCTGAGAGATGAGGTAATTAGAATAAATAAAAAGCAAACATTAAAAGTGGGAAGGAGGTGAGCATCCGTGGCAGTAGATGTCTGTAAGGCCAGCATTTCACCTCTCTATTAACCGGCCCCAGTTTCCTTGCCTCAGAACCTTTGCCCACGCTAGACTGTCCCTTCTTTCCATCTCTCACTTACAGAAATCCTTTGGAATACTCTTGAAGTGTCACCTTTCTCTGATGGCTCCAGTCAGAAGCATTTGCTCTCTTGGGTGTATGGTCAATGTGCTAATGTCATCTGGCACCCTTTGTCCATTTTATCTTGCAATATGCTAATCCATGCTAGTTCTCAACTAGGCTGCAAGCTCCTTTGGGGTGAGCACCCTATTTCGTTGGAATAGTTACTTGGTAAGATTAGCTGGTAAACAGATGGGTCCACTGGAGGCTATCTAAAGTGGTATATGGCCACATTCATCCAGCTTAGAAAGCAAGAGGCCTTAAAGCAAAGGCTGGACCTGCAAGCCTCCATAATTGCATTCTGCCCTCTCCTTCCCTCCCAAGAACCCAGAGCTTCAAACATGAGTGCAATGCTCTGGATTCCAACTCCTGAGCTCACAGCTCTACTGTAAATTTCTCCAAGGAAACAACTTCCCCGATCATCAACTAGCTACTCAGTCAATCAAACTGGGTAGCATGGTGGTTGGGGTTTTTCCAACCCAACTTTATTGTCGTTTCAAAGACTCAAGCTCATTTTAGCAGAAACTGACTACAGACACACTCAGCTGCACAGCTCTGGGGATATCTTAATAACGGGAATGCCAGGAACAGGGCAGATCTCCGTGCTAGTGAAGCTAGATACCTTCTTGTCTGCTGACTCAGTCATACCAGTAGGTAGGGCTGCTCCTGATGTCTGAAACCTCAGTTCTGTTTAGTTTGGAAAAGCATTTTCTCACCACCAATTTGCCCTTGCTACTTGGGGGAAGGAACGAGACAGGGCAATCACAGTGAGTATAGTCAAAAACATCTTACATATGTATGAAACTATCATAATGAAACTCAGTACTTTGTATAATTAATATAAGCTATTGAGATGTCTGAAAAATCGTTGCCCCTAGATGACAGGGAGATGGCTCCTCACTAAGGAGCACTGGCTGCTCTTGAGAATCTAGGGTTTAGTTCCCAGCACCAAATGATATCTCACAACAATCCATAACTCCAATTCCAGAGGATTCAGTCCCCTCCTCTGGCTTCCAGGGACACTTGAGGTGCGTATATACACACATATATATGCAGGGGAAAACATCCATACACATAAAATTAAAGTTAATACATCTTTTTCAAAAGCTCCAATATTTTTAAAGTTTTAAAACTGCCATTAATTTTTAGTTTGACCTAAATTATTTGTACTGGGTGACTTTTTAAATATATTTACAGGGTGGTCCGCGTCGAGTTCGGATCCGTACAACAGCACTCTGTTGGCGCAGAAGTCCAGGTCAGAAATCTTCTTTGGAAACCAAGGGACAGTGTCCATAACTGTAAAACAAAATCCCCAGGCCACTGAGGGTTAAGGAGACTGCCTTAACCAAAGCGAAATCCAGAAGCAAGAGCAGTTAGATGAGATGAGATTTGTGTACTGAAGAAAACAAACATGGTTTAAACGCTCACTCTGTTCCTAGAAGTCATATTTTAATTAAAATCATTGGCTTTTTTTTTCAAACCTTAAGGTTGATTTCCCAAGTGCTGAGGAGTATTATAGTGAAGTAACAAGCCAAGCATTTGAATGTCTTGTGACGCTTGCCTGGTTATTCCATGAAGGCAGACCAGGCTAATGCAATTCTAGACACCAGTGTGCAAGCCCGGGAAGGAATTCTAATATCTGTGTTTGTCTTGAGGCACAGGATCATATCTCAATATCTAGTTTTTAGATTTTCTTTAGAACATTTATTGTTTGGGTTCAGTAAATGTGTGTGCATGTGCGTATGTGTGTGCACGTGCATATGAATACAGATGAATATAGAGGCCAGAGGTCATAAGCCACCTGTGTGTGTGTGATCACATGAGTTGGTGTACATTAAAAATCAAAGGAGCCACCTCGCAGTCTGGGAAACTCTTCACTGTGTCGGTGAGGGAAGCAGTCTGCTGAGGCTGAGGCATTTGCCCCACGTAACCATTACCAGTGGAAGAGAGTGGGTAGAACTCAGCTTTCCTGCCCTGTTCGTTCTGTTTCAAGAGGAGCACTCAGAGTCTCACTCAAGGAAGCTGCTCCCTGCCACGCAGAAGAGGAGGTGAGTCCACAGTTTGACAATGACAAGAAGGCATGGCAGATGAACAGCAGCCCTGGCCACGCATTAAGTATTGTGATGTACTTGAAGATACTTCAAAGAGTATAAAGTTACTAAATGAATCCATTTGTCTTTTGTCTTGACTAAATTACAATGTGGGTTTTTTTTTTTTTCAATAATGGAGACCTCACTCGGCCTCAGTCTTTTTGATCTGAGTATCTGAACCTTGGAAGGCTTTGTGTCAGGAGAGCCATTGTTTTTTGGTGGGAATGAGCTATAATAGGTTTCAGATCACTAATGTCAAACACAAATACCCCCAAAATTCAAATATCGCTCTAATATCTGTTAGACACCAAGCCCTAGGAGATCTATGAAGAGTTCGGGAAAGAACTGGGGTACAATAAGATGAGGGTTGCAGAATCAAGAAGTCCTTTAGGAAGTATGAGAGATCATTGACCTTTGACCCACCCTTCTCAATGTTCAAAGCTTCTTTCACCCTGCCCTGCATCAGAGGCTGCCTCATAGTTTTTCCTCAGAATTGTGGTCAGCTCCATTCTGTTTCCCCTTCACTAGCACACAATGAGGACTTTGAAAAGACAGAGGCTTCTTTTTATCCTCTTATCCTCAAAATGAATAGGAGGCTGGACACACATTGGGTGCTTACTCTTTGAGGTGGGGCTTTGCTGTCTGAAACGTACCATCTTCCTTCACAGTGAGCTGATCAGGCGAGTCCACGGAGAGGATAGTGGTGTGGGACTTCAGCAGGGGAAAGATGTCATTCAGCTGTTCTCGGTTGATGTCGCAGTCAACAAAAATCTCAAATTCTGAATTTCTTTGCTTTGATTTCCGGGACTCAATATGTAACAGGTTCACGTGATTCTCCTGTGTAAAGTAGAGGGTGAAAACTACATGGGCCTGCCTTGGATGCTAATAATCTTTGAGAAGAATACTTTCACTGTAACTCAAAAGACAATTCAACGTATGTCAGAATTAGCTCAAAAGGAAGAAGAATGTGTTTTTAGTGCTGCTAATGGCAAAACAATTCCCTCCCGGAATACGTAAGATTAAATCAAAAATAAAAACTCATCATTCCCTTCAGAAAACAGTAAAGTGACAATGACACCGTTAGTCAGAGATGGTTACAGTCGTGGCTGGTTACGATCAGGGCTGGTTACAGTCCAAATCTAAGCACCAAATGCTGGGCTGGGCATGATGGCTTATACCTGCAATCACAGCACTCAGGAGGCTATGGAAGTTCCAGGCCAGTCTAAACTACAGAGCAAGGCCCTGCCTATACAAAATAAACTTTTAAAAAATAGAATAAAGAGAGGCAGAGGAGAAGGCTGATGTTTTCTTTATAAGTTTACAGAACGTGTCAAGTTTTTAAACCACGTACCACATAAAATTCTAACAATAAAGAAAATAGAAGGGGTTGGAAGAAGAAGTACAGGTATGTACTTCCAAAGGTCCAAAGGTGATCACTACATAAAAAATAATAATACAAGCCAGGCTTTCTGGGATAGGCCTGAAACCCTAGCTACTTGGGAGGCAGAGGCAGGAGGATCATGAGTTTGATGGCAGCCTGGAAAACATAGTGAGACTTTCTCTCAAAATAAAAAGTAAACAGAGACCTGAGGACATACATGACAGAATCCTTGGCCAGCATGCTCGAAGCCCGAGTTTTAACTCTTTGTATGGCAATAGTAATAGTAAGCGTAGTGTAGTGTATGTAGTGTATGTAGTGTATATAGTGTAGTGTAGTGTAGTGTATGTAGTGTAGTGTATGTACTGTAGTGTATGTAGTGTATGTAGTGTATGTACTGTAGTGTATGTAGTGTATGTAGTGTATGTAGTGTATTTAGTGTAGTGTATGTAGTGTATGTAGTGTATGTACTGTAGTGTAGTGTACTGTATGTAGTGTAGTGTATGT